GCATTTAAAGAAGCAAACCCAAATAAAACTTAGTTGTTGCCTTGATATCCCAGTTCTGAAAATCCAAGAAGCACACTTTGAAAACTGATTTCTAGGAAAGAGATATGAAAGCTTAGTGGACTGACGAAGTTAGCATCACTTTTCCTTCCTTTCTTCTTGTGCTGTGACATTTGAAACTCCTGCAGATGAGAATTTTCCTCTCTGTTAAGAGGAGCCTGTCAGATATTACCTTCCTGACTTCTTTCCTGTTCAGAAATAAGAGTAAATAGGAGCTCTTTTTCCCGTAGTGAAAATGTGAAAGCTACATAATCCACCTGTACAAATTCTGTAAGGCAAGTTGCATTAATTTTGATAACATTATGTTTTAGAAAGTAGATACGTATTGCTGTTACAGACAAATCCTCACATGTGAACTGAGTTTATCAAAGAGTAGGCCTATTTTTGTAGCTACTTAAAGCCTAAATTACGTGTGCTTAGACACCAGGCTTCTGGCATCAGTTCTGACAGATACTTATGTACATGTCTGCAGCAAATTTGAATAAGTTGATAGTTTGGTCTGCAGCAGAAAGGGCTTAATGCAAAATTACATTATCTTGCATTTGCTTTGCTGACAGTTTGCGTGAAGATTACTGCAGTGCAGGTGACATAAGGTAACATGTTGAATTGCAGTACTCTATATGTGTGGAACCTCAGAAGTTAGGAATTCATTATACTAGAAATTCATTACACAGCTTTAACAGCCTGACAGCATCAACGTCATTGCTAATCACTTTGATGTACAGAATCAATACTGAAGTTCAAAGGGAAAAAAAACACCTTTGTCCCTGGGGATGGTGGGTAGAGGATGCTTGCGAGGTAGAGAGAAATGAGAAAAGAGGAGGAAAAGGAAGAGAAATAAGTAAGGAAAAGGAAGAGAAATAAAGAAGGTAGTGTCTTTCAAATGGAGTATATTTCAGTATGTAATGATGCTGACTGACAGAAAGGTGATAAAATAATAAAAGATTAAAGCTGTCATATAAAGGCTGTGCTTACACTTCGTCTTGAAAAGCCGTGTTGGAAGGCTACATGCATAACAAGTAAAATGGAGATTTTGTCCCCTTATTAATGAGCTGAGGCCACTGCTGCCTGTCCAGTATCTTCTCATGTACTTGAATAGTGGAAGTATTATGGTAGTGGTGGCACAAAATGTTTTTGCTGTGTTTTCCTTATTCTTAGCTCTCCAGAAGTAGTTGAAGAAAATGGCAAAGCAAGGTAACAAGCGAGGGACAGTATGGGAATCTCTTAGAAAACTCTTAGAAAAGAGAGATTAATAATGGTCCTAGCGTAACAGTTCCAAAGATGAAATCGTGAAACAGAACTGACATTGGTGAGCACTTTGAGTACGAAACAACCGATAATACCTGAAGCTAAACATCGTTGTTTCTGTGGTTTCTTAAAATGTCTGAGCCTGTGGTTTTTATTCGTGTTGCCACAGTCTTATGAGTAATTATTTTCACGGAGGTAGTCTAGTCCAACCTCCTGCTTAACTTAGGTGAGGATACCCTGGGGTCTGACAGGTGCAAGTTTGAAGACCTCCAGAGATGGCGATATTACAGTCTCTCTAGGCAGTCTGTTCCAGAGAAACTGCTGGAATAAAGACACAGAAGCCTATGCCAGGAAAGAACAGACACAGCTAATACTCAGCCAAGCTGCAGCATTCTTTCTTGCTTTGTTACCCAGAGTGGGCTCCGTATCAGCATAACTGTTCCAGACTGAGCAGTGTTTTCTAGGTACAGTTTTGTGTCTTTAGGGGCTTTGCTTAGGTAATAGTTCTGTGTTGTGTTAATAACTGTCATTATACAGGTGGCTGCCTAAGTGCCAAAGGCATTTTGAAGTCATGGCATCAAAGCATTGGAGAGAAAACACACTGTCCTTAACTAATACAATTTTGTCTCAATTATGATGGGGGTAATAAATCTTGAGATTGGGTGTGCGTACGCCTCTAAATCCTGATGGTGCATCTGATGACTTCTCACAAAGCTAATTGGTGACAGGAAGCAAACCTTTCTTGTCTCCACCTGCTAGCTGTATAAAAAGAAACAAAATAATATTCTATATTTCCCTGTTGTCCTATTCTCTCCAAACAACAGCAGTGTTCTGTAAATTAAGAGGTAACGGGATGAGAGAGATGCTTTGTTGTAATGATGAATCCCTGCACACCACCAGAAAAAGCCCATATGAGGCAACTACTTGATCTGGGACTGCTCTTGCACTTGCATATATCTTTTCCATCCTCGTAAGAAGAAGTGAATAAAGTTTTACTATATGTGCTAACCATGTCACTGTTTTAATCTGACAGCAAATAATGAAAAGACTGATAAAACGTTACGTTCTGAAAGCACAAGTGGACAAAGAAAATGATGAAGTAAATGAAGGTAAGAAGCTGTATTTTTTCACATTTCAGAGAGAATTTTTGTCACGTTTATTAGAAATTGGTATTACAGTGGTGCATGGCGCCTTCAGTTAAAATGAGTTTATTTCTACTTCACGTGCACTGAAGTCAGATAGCAATGGAACTATGCAAACAAAAACAGACAAGTAGGACCAAAAAAGGGGAACCGAGAAAGTTTATGGACCCCATGTACAGAAGTAAAGTTGGGGTGCAGACATGATGCACCCACAGTCACAGAGGAAGTTTGTGAGGAAGCCACTAACTATATTGATGCTTCCAGAGTCCTAGTCAGAGCTGCAGGGTGTCTTTCTGTTTCATTCAGTTGAACACACAATTTGCACTCAACAGCATGAACCACTTGTATTCCCTTCTTTGATAAATCTATATGGAACACTAATCTGCAAAGTTGCACATCATTTAAAACAAACAAACAAACAAAAAACAGCACAGTTAACTGTATGGTGAAAAAAAAGGTGAAAACTGTAGCCTCTGTTCTAGTGTACAACCAGAGGTCATTTCAGGGATGATGCACCTGAGCACTGTGTCCACGTCGGGATTGGTGGGCCTTTAGGAACATCTGCAATTGCAGTGAGAGGTGCACGCTCCAAGCACAGAACCCCACTTCCCACTGTGGGTGGTGTACAGGTCTTTCCCTGATATCTGTCTAGGCATTTGCAACGTGTTTAGGTAAGTGCAGAGGAATTATGGTTCATGTACTTCACAGTTCTTGCTTATCACCAATCTTCCTGGTGTCCACTTTGGACAAGGTGGCTAGGTATTCTTTCATATTTTTCGTATGTGACAGCTGATTTCCTGCAGTAGGTACTGTGCAAGAATTAAAATGGCTCATACTTGCAGAAGTAGTACTTGAGTATTTTGAAAAGCTTCTACTCTTGATCTGGGTATCTTATACTGGGAAACATATATTGTTACAAGACTGACCTTGACTTTGTTTCCATTTAAATGTTGCTGTTGTCCTTGTGTCAAGCTGTACCAATTTTAAATTGGCTGACTTTTTCTGATTCAAAGGATGTTGGTAAGGAAGAGGAGAGAGACTCAGAAGCTGTGAGTTTTGTTGCCAGCTCTGCCACATTTTCCCTGTGTGATCTTGGCATATCACTTCAGAAACAAATCTCTTTTGCCTTTTCTCTCTCCAAGGGGGTACTAACATTTACCAGCTGTTTAGCAGTGTTGCCTTGATTAATTCATTAACCTATGTGGAGGGCTTTTTGAGTCTTTGATGTTCTGTGTACATGTGAAGCCCAACACTGGAGTTTGTTGGATTCTTAAAACACCTTTGGTACTGTCCAGGGGTGGACACACTCACATCTTATAGAGGATGAGGAAGAGGTAAAGCCTTCTGCTCCCCTTCCCCAACTCTCGTAAATGTTCTGAATGAGCAGGGGATCATCTGAAATAGACACTAATGTGACTTGTTATTTAATAAACTTTTAACAGACTTTGCTAATAAGTATTTCTTTCAATGGTTAATACAGGTGAATTAAAAGAAATCAAACAAGATATCTCCAGTCTTCGCTATGAACTTTTGGAGGACAAGTCCCAGGCGACAGAAGAGTTAGCGATTTTAATACATAAACTCAGCGAGAAACTCAATCCCAATATGTTGAGATGTGAATGATGCAACAAAGGAACCGTGGCTTCGACTACAGCACAACTATTTATTGGCAATAATATTTCAGTATCTCATACTTGAAAAATGTATTGTAGATTTTTAGCACTAAATAACTTTATGTACAGCTTCTCTGGAATTTAGTCATAGGAAATTTTATTAACTCATCACCAAAACATTGTTGTCTTCATCTTAAACATCTGAAAGTTAAGAACTATCAAACTTTTTTTCGCATTGACGCATTAAGAAGGTGTAGTGATACGAATTACTGATGTTTTAACAGGTTTATGAATACATGCTGAAAATTCTTTGCACTGAATTTGCAAGAAAAAAAATGAACAGGTACAACATAGTATTGCAGCAGCGAGGTGGGAACAGGATCTTTCAGAGCATGGTGAATCAGGTAGAGAGTGGCAGGGGATTGCTTGAGATCCAGATCCTCTCTAGCGATGCTGATCCCAGGTAGGAGCTGAGGAGGAGCAGGTGAGGGTGAGTGCAGCTCACAGGTACGTGCACACGCTTCCCCACAGCTGCTGTTTCACAATTCAGCACATTGGTTTCCTCTGGCAAGGTTTGGTGGTTGGCTGTTCTTTTTGTAACAACTTTTGAAGGTAACGCGATCTCAGTCCAAAGCTCCTCTTTATGTGGTAGAAATGATTTTTTAAAATTCAGACTCTGTGCAGGGCCGGTATTTTGTTACTCGATGCCTCAGATGCTTCATTGTTAAATAAAATATTCCGACTTTACTGGTACTTCGCCTGGTCCTGCTAGCTCGGGCCCCGCCCAGCCCGCCTGGGGGCGGCCCGCGGCCGCTGCTCACGGCACTAACGACGCCGCAGCCCCGCCCTGCAGCGTCGCCCAATCGCGGCGCGCAGATCGCCTCGGTCCCGCCCTCTCGACGTCGAGCTCGGCCAATGGGAAGCCGGCTGGGAGCGCCGCCGTCCGCGGGCGACGGTTGCCGCGGTGACGGGTAACGGCGGCTCGGAGCCGCGCTCGGCCGAGCTCGCGCTGCGGGGCGGCTGCCGGCCGAGCCATGGAGGTCAGCCTGGCCCGCGTGGACTACCTGCAGGTAACGGCCCGCGCCGCTCCCGGCCGCGCTCGGGGCCGAGGGGCCGGGCGAGGTGAGTGAGGGCCGTGCTTTCCTTGGCAGGTGGGCGTCACGGCGCAGAAGACCATGAGGCTGCTCCCCGCGTCGGGCCGCAGGGCCACTCAGAAGGTACGGGGCGGCGGGGCGCGCGTGGCCCTCCCGGCTCCTCTGGCGGGACGGGACGTACCGCTGTACGGAGCTGCGCGCCGCGGGGCGAAGGCGGCGTTTGAAACCCGTACGTGTGCCGTGACGTAACGCTGTGGTCTGCTTTCGAAGGTGGTGGTGGGCGATCAGGACGGAGTGATTACCTGCTTCGGCATAAAAAAGGGGGAACCTGCGGTAAGTGAGAACGTGCCGCTTCAAAACGGGCTTTTTAAAGCTTTCTCCCTTAGAAATGCGGAAGGTGTGCAGTCCGTGTCGCTTTTTGTCCCTATGTATTCTTTTAATTAGTTTTGCCGGAGGTTGTAAAGCAGATTTAGTATCCTTTGCGTGAAAAGTTGGCTGTAAACACAAAACGTGATTGCGATTGCTTTTCTTCTTTACAGACGGTGTTCAAAACACTGCCCGGCCCCAAAATCGCACGCCTGGAGCTGGGAGGAGCTCTTAACACACCCCAAGAGAAAATCTTTGTGGCCACGGGATCGGAAGTCAGAGGTTTCACAAAAAGAGGGAAGCAGTTCCTCTCCTTTGAAACTAACCTCACTGAAGACATCAAAGCTATGTGTGTACAGTGCTTGGTGTTTGTTGTCTCCCTGAAGTTATTCTCAATCTATGCTTCTATGGTTTTGGGGTATTTTTTAACCTTACTGTATGCACGTGGGCAGCGCTCAGTGCTGCTCTACCTTTAGCCTGTGCCTTGGCATGTAGGAAGGAATCTTGAAAGTGACAGTGCAATTGAAAGAGTGTGTGTGGGGGGGGCTTGGGGGAAACCTGGAGGCCTTCCCAGCAGTGCATGTGCGGGTGAATGTACCTGGGATTATTGGTTTTTTAGTAGCATATACTGTCCCTTTGTCCTTCCTGTAGGAGATCAGGAACAAGATTTTTCTGTTGTTTTTTGTATGGTCTTGGTTTAAGGTGCTTGCCTTATAAAAGCTGATGTGTGGAACCTGCAAGCAATAGTGCACGTGTATACTAACCTAAAAAAGACATGACTGCAAATATTCTGGCAAAATGCTACAATGTTTTCTTTTTCTCAGGCACATTTCAGGAGCAGATCTCTTTCTTTGTGCAAGCTATATCTATAACCACTACTGCGACTGCAAAGACAAACACTACTACTTGTCAAGAGATAAAATCAATGATGTTCTCTGCCTTCCTGTAGATAAAGTGAATTGTATTACCCCAGTGCTTGCGTGTCAGGATAGAGTCCTCAGAGTTTTACAGGTTAAAATATTTGCTTGTTTTATGTATTGACACCATAGCATTGGATTAATTCTTAAAAAATAAACATAAGCATAGTGTATCTTATTTGTCAGTGTTACTGTGCTGGTATTTTTCTAAATTAGAAAATCATGATTGTGAACTTGCAAAATTAGTATCGATAACACTACTACAAATAGGCTTTGGATTTCATGGATAGAGGAAGTAAAGAAATTCTTCCATTTTTCCACTTCAAATTAAAAATGTTTACACAAGGAAATTAAATCTGTAAGTCATTATATGTTTGAAAATTCGCAAATTATTGTTATAGCAACACTGAATGATATCAAATGGTTTAGCACAATTGTTTCTTAGTGTCAGATGTTCTCAGATTATTTTGTCATAACTTTTTAAAGTGTTAACATGTGGCAAGATTTTTTTAAGTCATGTTTTAGTTATACAAATTTTTTTTCTGGTTTAGAAGTGGTTTTATGCAAGAAAATCTGTGTAAATGAAGCATGTCCATATTAAAAAAACAATTTTGTCTTTATTCTTGATTTCTCCTTTTGAACAAGAACTCATTCAAGGTAGTTCTCTTTGTCCCTAGGGATCTGATCTACTGTATGAAGTAGAAGTTCCTGGACCACCTACTGTTCTTGCTCTAAACAACGGAGATGGAGGTAACAGAATTTTGTATATACACATAACTAAGTAATGTACTTCTGCTGTGTTGTTGACATTTCAACACTTATATTTGTTAACTACATTTCATCTTGATTTTGAAACTGATTAAAAAATGTAGTAGAAAACTATGTGAAGCTATATCTTACTACCCCTTCTATTTATAGAATATAGATACAGAATATCTATATGTATTATGGTGAGAATGGAATTTTGTTGTACCATATACTTATACTGAATTGACGAACAACCAGTAACTCTTTGCGGGGGTGGGGGGGGGTGGGGTAAATGTTGAAGATATTTGCTTAAATTATTCCTATCTAGAAAATTGGAGGGAAAAAAACCCACACTTTTAGCAGTATTAAGGGCTTTTGCTGCTGGTTTTCTGGTAGAAAAGGTTTGTATGTGGATAACCGGATAAAAAGCCGTCAGTTGTTGGCGGTAACAGAAATCACGCAGAAAATCTGTGTCTGAGACAGAGTTTACAGGTGAGGCAAGAGTGAGAGGCTAGTAGGATTTCAGGTGAAAGTTGGGAAGAGGGCAACCATGGGAGTTTTAGGTTGAGATGGCGTAGGGATTATTAGCTTTGTTTTTAAACTGCTTTGGATTTTCATTTGTATGCATTTAGAGGTGTTATTTGTTTCTAAACATACAATGTATACATGTATGCACTTGACAGTTCTAGTTCTAAATAATATTTACATTGGATGAAAGCCTCTTACAGTGGCAGTGAGTTATAAGGTGATCTTGTGGTGTAAATTAGAGCTGGACTGTTGGGGGTCTTGGTCAGGCATTGAGTTTGGTTTCTCTTAGATCTGGATTTCTGTAATAGAATCACTACTTCCATCCATCCATGGATTGATGAGAATATTGAGTAGAGCTCACATAAAATAAGATTGTGGAAGGATCCAACTTAAAATAGCTTGATAATCCTTTTTGCTAATCTCTTCTAACCTGATATAAATCCCTTTAGTATGTTAATCTGGTGCTTAATTTAGTTTCTGTTAGATTATTTGACAGCATTCAGATCTAGTTTCAAGAAACAGTTCTTGCTTGCTTAAGGTGCAGCATTCACAATTAGATGTGTGTTCTGAATAAATAATAATGAATGATTTTTTCTGTAAAGACTATTAAATAGCCTGCCTTTTCATAAATTTGAAGTACTGCATTAGGAAGAGTTTGTAGGCAGAACTCCAGAGCAAGGAGACATTTGTTATAAAGCCTGACGGTTCTGTTACATGGCACTAATGTTAAGATTTTCTTTTTCCCCTGGTGGGATGAATATTTTCAAAACTTTTAAATAGGTCTGTTTTTATGATTGTAAATTTGCTTAAATTTTTTTAGGTGATTCTGGAGAAGAAATTGTATATGGAACTTCTGATGGTAAACTGGGGCTTATCCAGATTACTGGTTCTGCTTCTGTACCTAAGTGGGAAATTGACAATGAAAAAAAGAGAGGAGGTATGTGTCTCAGTATCTCCCTCTTTTCGAGGGAGCTGTGTTTTCGAGCACAGCTGAGGCTTTGTTACAATACAATCATTAGGAAATAAATTTCATAGATATTTAGGAGGTGTATTTTAATATTGTCGATACATGATATTAATGTGTTAATTCTCTTTCATTCTTAAAAGTAATTCTAATCAGCTTGCCCTGTATGTTATTTCCTGTACGTTTTCATTTTTATGATACAATGTTAAAGTGCCATTTGTGAAACAGTTTCTTTGTACGTGATCACTTGGGGTTTTTATAATTTTGGTGATTTTTAACATGCAGATATACATGCTAGATTTTTTCAGATGTGCAGTGACCTTAAAGTCCCTTCAGATTAAAGTTTAGTGTTTTCAGTGCAAGGCAAAAAAAACAAACAAACAAAACCAAATAAAAACAGAGTAAGGATTTTTTTCTAAAGATGGGATAATGTTCTTCTTAAAGCTCCATAATATGGTGTAACTTGTTTGGGCATAGTACAATATTTTTCCCTGCTATAGCCTTGGTATGCTGTTTCTGCAGCATGTGTTAGTACTTATTTTTGTGTAAAGGAGAAGAACAGTGATAAATATGTTTTGTTTCTAAGCTTTCATGAGGTAATTAGATTTATTACTTAACTCTTTTGTTAAAAATCCTCTTGGTATGTCTAAACTCCATATATGAAATGTGAAGGAGTTTAATTCTTCTGCAGGTTCTCTTGCTTCCTTCTCCTTCTTCCACACTGTAACTGTGTCCAGTCTAGCCATGGTTAGCTGTTAGAACATCTGGGGAATCTTAGTCAACGAGTGCGTTTGTCCATTAAGGTGTTGTGTAGCAGCACAAACCTAAGGCAGGTCTGGTGCAAATCATTACCCTGCATCTGCCACATCAGCTGGAATTCACAGCAGTCCAGTTGGCTTTCTGTCAGCTATAGGAGACAAAATGTGCTTGCCTCTTCAGTTGGCAGAGCTGGTCAGACAAAGTCTGGGAAAAAAAGTGGACTTTAGTCATGGAGGGGAGACTTCAGCCCTCTAGTGGACTCTTCCAGAAATAGCATCAATAAAATCATAAAATCCCAGCGAGAATCTCTTCCTGTGCAGTTTAACGTGGCCTTCGTATTAATGTGTTGTAAACAACCGAAGATGAAGTAGACTGTTTTCTTTTTCATTAGGTATCTTATGCATTGATAGTTTTGACATTCTGAGAGATGGAGTTAAAGAGTTACTCGTTGGGCGAGATGATGGAGTGCTGGAAATCTATAGCTTTGAGAGTGCAGATGATCCTGTCCTTCGGTATGATTATGTAAGCCCACATCCAGTATCTTCTTCCTTGCTGGAAAGATGAATTTAAAAACTCTGTATTTCAAAATATCAAGTATTCACAAGATTATTACAGCTAAAATATATTTTTTTGGTTTTGTTTTTAATTTGATATGCTCTATAATGGTGACAACACAGATGTCAAAGTGGTATCTAAGTATTGCAGTGGTCTTGATTAGAGCAAAAAATCAAAATGGTGCAGAGAGTATGTTTAAGCTCTGACTCTGCTCTTACTAAGGTTTCTCCTGGGTCAAACCTAATACAGTGCTTCTCTCTCTGGAAAAAGAAAACAAGACAAAAAACCCACCACCACATTGTGTGAGATTTCTTTTGCACTTAAAATTGTAAGTGTGGCTGTTAGAACTTTAACAACTGATAGACAAAGAAATTATGCTCAGTAAGGAAGTAGATTTGATCCATAGTGATGATTTCATCCTTCAGACAGACTGTAAATCTTGCTGGAAAAGTGTTTTCCTTCAGTGTTTTCCTTTAAACCACATTTTACTGTCTGTATTAAGCAGAATTAATTCAGAATGCATTGGTTAAAAGATCTTGCTTTAGCTATGGTAGTCATCAGCTAGCTTACTCTTGTGGATCTAGATATTTTGCATCTATGTAGATATGTTGTGATGTAGGTAACAGCCCCCCTCGCCCCCACCCAAACAAAAACAAAACAAAAAAAAACCCAAAACAGGTTTTTTAAAAAAAGTACGGTAATATTTCCCTCTGTTTGAATGTGTTTTGAAGGTTTTATCAGAGAGCATTTCATCAATCCAGGGTGGCTGTGTAGGAAAAGATGGTTATGATGAAGTTTTAGCATGCACGTATTCAGGTAAACTTTGTATTTTTTACTCAACAAGGTCTAAATAGATACTGATAGCGTACTGATAGATAGAACTGAAGCAGGCGGCATTGATAGCACAGCTCATACCTCTTTAAAGTTTTGCCATGATAGGAATCAGGGTGCTTTGTTGAAAATATTTATTTGAATATAGTATTTACACTTCAGGATACAGTCAAGTGATTTTTGCTTTTATAAGTAAATGAAATTAAGAAGTTAAAATATATATATATTTTAAGTTCAGCCAGAGCATTCTGTCTCAAAACCCACTGTGCAATTTGTACTGTGCTGCATACACATTGCACATCTTTTTTTGTTTTGTTTTCAACTGTAGCACTGGTTAGCAATCACAAATTATTCAAGTTATTTGTAGAACTTATTTGTCAGAAGCAGAGGTAGAAAAAAGGAAACTCGTAAAAAAAATGATACAGAGGTGTTTATTGCACAAAGTGCTTCATGAAAAAGTAACACTTTCCAATTTGTAAATCAAGAATGACTGCCTACTCATAAAATTCCATGCTTGTTGTCTTCCAAGATAGGATAAAATAAAGTCTTAAATCTCTTTATCCAATATCTGAAACAAACATTATACAAACAAACAGTATAAGTACCGAGGGAAGATTTTTACTTATAGCTTGTATGGAATGTGAACTTCATATGTTGGTTTAGGCTGGCTGACAGGACTGACTACAGAACTTGCCTATAGAGAAGGTGGATCAGGTGAAGAGCTAAAACTAAGTCAAGAAATGCAGAGCAAGATTTCATCCTTAAGGTAATTTCACTAGATAGAAATTGAATTGGAAGAATTGAAGCGTTACAAACTGAAATGCCATCTTTCCTTCCTACGTCATTAGATTTTCTGTATCATTAGTGTATACAGAAGGACATACAAATGAGAACAGCGTTCTCATCCCATAATCTTTTCCTATATTGCCTTCAAGTGGTTATGTTTTACTTCCTTCTTCCTTGGTTTCATCAAGATAAGATTCCCTTCTCCTGTGCTACCTATAGCTTCTGAATGATGAGAGGCAAGTTTTTCACCAGCATGTCTTTAAAAATACATGGTGCTCTTGAGGAAAAATGTTGCCCCCTCTGGTAACTCATGGATATGTCTTTTGTCAAAGTACAGTAGAATCTACATTTTCATGTGATACAGTTTGTATTTTATCTTTGATGTGTTGGTATGGAAGGGGAATTAACAGTCACTTCTTGTTGGAAATTCCTGAACAGAAGTGAAGAAAGATTGTCTTGAAGCATAATTGACTTATTTTCTATGGTAGCTGTTATTGTTAATTTTATGGTGACATTATACCTGGTTTGTCTTTTCTAGGAATGAAGTGGAACACTTACAGATGAAAGTACTTGGTGAACGTGAGAAGTACCAGCAGTCTTCTCAGTCCAGTTCTGCTGTTTCATCAGTACCTGCATTCAGTGTGAATGATAAGTTTACACTAAATAAAGATGATGCTAGCTACAGTCTCATCTTGGAGGTGCAAGCAGCTATAGATATTATCCTGGTGCAGGTGAGATAAATGATGAGTAATTTGCAGCTCTGTAGTATCTGCAGTTTCTTTAGTGAAGTAAAGAATAATGAAGTTGGTTGGTCTAGGCTTGAATTTAATGTAGAGTTCAGAGCAAATGTTTTTTTCTGTAAAGAAATATGCTGTAATGCCTGGCCTCCTTCTGTTGTTGGAGAAGGCAATAAAGCCATCTATAAACTTGTGTTTTTTGTTTTTAGAAAGCATGCTTAATTTTTAACAGTGTTTCCTTGCACTGCTTTGAAGTAAAAAGCAGAACCAAATCAAGTAATTAATCCTTCAGAAGCCCTTTAATTTTGTTTTCATAACAATCTTAGATTTAATTACACAGAAAACACATCTCTATAAGAAGTAGTTTGTGTCAGAAGCATAACTTTTAATAAAGGAATCATGAATAGATCTCTAACTTTATCCTTGGTTTCGTGAGTGAGCATTGTAATCCCCTTGTTAAAATAAAGAAACGCTTCAGTCATGAATGTACTTCATGCATGTCTGAAAGACAAAGTTGCACATGTTACATTAAAGTTGTTGTAAGCCACCTGCACAGGAGTTCAGGACTCTGCATGAGAATAAGAGAAAGATCACAACGTTAATTTGGGATTAAATGTTCAGGGGTACGATGCATATCTACTAAGATTTTATCACTTGAATATAAATGATGAAGCAATGATGAATATAAATGATGAAGCTTCTCACTTATTAAAATAATTGGTGACAGTGGATGAATGCATTAGAAACTACTCAGGAACTTAAGCTCTACGTTTTTCCTTCCTCCTGTTCTGCAGAGTGATGTCCCTGTAGACTTGCTGGATGTGGATAAAAATTCTGCTGTTGTTAGTTTTAGCAACTGCGATTCTGATGTAAGTGAAACAAAAGAGAGAATGATGTTTCTGGAGACTGCATGATGAAAAGCTCTCAATACAGTATGTGCAAAATAGAATCTGGATTTATATATTTGTAATTTAAAATGCATAGAACTAAACTCCTTGCAATCTGAAGTGCTCAATTTCAATAGAGCTTGCAGAATTAGGTGTCAGTGACAAGTCATGGCATAGGGCAAAGCCAACTGTGTATGGAAGGATTTGGGAGCGACTGCTGTAGGGCTTTTTTCTTGACAAAGGAATGCTACAGGCACGCTCACTGATGTTCTCTAGTTTGAATTTGTCAGTATCATATCTGTTTACTTCAATGTAATTTCAGTGAAGAACATCGTATCCTTTCCTTAATGTATCTCAAGAAAATGAGACCATGAAAATTCTGTTGTCTGGAAAGTCATATGCTTGCATTTTTTAATATAGTGTTAAACTTAACTACTTGTAGAATTACTTACCGTGCTTCTTTGGGAAGGCTGGTAGGATGGGAGACTTGAAACTACTTCAGCATTGTGAAAATATTAATAATGCCTTTTTAACAGTCCTCAGAGTATTTTAGTTTTAAAAACTAAATTTGCACATCATTTTTGAAAGCTTCAGCGTATATCAATTAAATTTATATTCTAAGTTTCTTGCCATTCATGATCATTAATTAAAAAAAAAAAAATCCACTTACATTTTCTTAGTGATTTCCTTTTTGTTTCTGGATGTCAGGCTATTATTGCAGATAAATGAGCAAGGCTGACAGATGCATTCTTGAGGTGACAAGTTTCTATCTGTGCAATTTTTATGGTGGTATTAAGGAAAAGAAGAAACTTTAGTTGATTTGTATTTATATAGAGAATTTTTTTTGAAGTTCTGACACAGTTAACAGTAATTGGAACATTGCATGGAACTGATGGCTGCATTTTTGTTTGTTTGTTTTAACTTCTATGAAGCAGCTGTGTATAAATACCAACAACTTTACAGTGCATGTCTTCAGTTAAAAAAGACCTGTTTTGTATTATTTTTCCTCTTTTATTGCTGTTCACAGCCAAATGGCAACTGTCTTCTTGCCACTTACAGATGCCAAGCAAATACTACAAGACTTGAACTTAAGGTAAAGTGCTCTAAATTATTTTCCATAAAAAATTCTTATGTGGATGTTTGCTGCAACATGAAGGAATCTTGCTTGACCTGGACTGAGCGCTTAAGTTTGTATTTGTCCCAGGGACATGATTTAGCAGAGTTAGGGTAGTATGGACATGTTGTGGTTGGACTCAATGATTTTAAGGTCTTTTCCAACCCGAGCAATTCTATGATTCTATTGCTGGTAGTTTCCTGAGCAGTGTCTAAGTTGGGGCTAGTATTCCTTTCTCATTGATGTAGGGTTTCTAAAGGCTTTTAAAATTGTTTTACATCAGAGGAGAGCCTGGGATCTTTCTTTGAGTACCCCTAAAATGAAAGCAGTTGAGAAATTGTCTGTAGTGAATGTATTTGATTCTGATGGCTGTGCGTGGAACTGAAAGTGAAGAAATATGGGAAGGACAGCACTGGCACTTTTTGTCCTGAGAAGTGTTTGAAAAAAGTTACACTGATGAGGGAATATGGCACGTATTTGTATTTTGGAGACGAAGCAAATCCTGTAATTTTATGCTTATGCTAAAGGCACGTGGCTATTCTCAGTCTTGTGGTTTCTTGTTAACAATCCAACACATTCAAGCATTTTTGTAATTATCACTTGGGAAAATAATAAAAGAAATCAAGATTATTGAAGTCAATCCTCAAGATAAATTGGACTCTAGATTTTCTTTTCATGCAGTCACCTCACACTGCAGCCTCCTACCCTGATATCTGTTGACTGCACATTGTAAAGGAAAAGATTATGGTTAGATATTTAAGCCTGAATAAAATGCATCAAATGTGGGGAAATTTCTGTTTCTTTTTTTGATGAGGGCAGTTATGGACCTAGTGGGCAAGGCTAAGACTCTTATTTCCTGGGTCCCTTTCCTAAGCATTTCTCTTGGTGTCCATTTTGACTCTTGTGCAGGTCACTTCATCTGACTCCATCTTTGTGCTTTTTACTTAGGGATATGTCCCTGGCTGCTTTGTAATGTATTTTTATTTAAAAAAAAAAAAAAAAGCAGAAAAAAAGAAAAAATGTAACAGTAATGGGGTCCTGAAGAATTAGAATTCTTATTTGAACTAATCAGAAAGTAAGTTAGTGGGTTTTTTAAATTAATTCCACGTTCATCTATTATTACAGCACTTCATTAGGCAGCGTTTCCCTTAGTTTTAAAACTCTTGATCTGCTCTTTCTACAGTGGCTCTATCAAGTAAATATAGTACTCTAAATACTTCTGTAGTACTGCAGAAAATCTACAGTTTCTTTATTATATTTTGAACAATAATAAATTCTCCAAATCTCAGTAAATCATTCAGTTCATTCTTGTTCTTTTTTGTGGCTTCTGTGTTTTCTTCTTCAGATTCGATCAATTGAAGGACGATATGGGACACTTCAAGCATATGTAACTCCAAGAATTCAACCAAAAACCTGCCAAGTTTATCAATACCAAATTAAACCCCTTTCACTGCATCAGAGAACTCATTCTATCGACCATGACAGGTATTCACAACAACAACAACAAAAGCCTATTTCTTTTGAAAAACTACGCAATCCAGTCAAAAAATTTACTCTACAGACTTAAGCATGTCATTCCTAACCTACATTTTTGAGCCTGTATGAGTTTATGGGCTTTGTAGGTTTGACATAAAATGCAGATTTAACAGGTTCCCACATCCCTTGCTGTTCTTTACTTGTTTTCAAGGTCCGTGTATTTTTCACTTTATGGACCTGGGCTATAGAGCAATCCAATGTATTAACAGAGGGTGTAGTAGAAAGGAAGCTCTACTGTGATAGTAACCACAGCCTTTTCAGTTTCAGCCTCAGTCTCCCCTTTACCTTAATTAATTCTTTCCCACAACTAATTTGACTCTAAAATGGAGCCAAGACTTTTCTTCCTTATCTCTGAATTTGAAATCTACTATTTTATGCAATTTCTACTTGATTACTCTTTCCTTAATTAACATGTTATGTTGCTTGCATTAAAACAAAACTGAAGAGTTGAAGGAATTGAAGGCCAAATGCAAATGTGTTCTATACTTTTATGCCTCATTCTTGAAATAAATGTTTGCGGTTTACAGGAGGGGAAACCGTTGAAGCTTAGGCATATTTCCTGTGTTTTTAGCTACTATTCAGGTTTAACAACTTGAAATGGTATATGTCAAACACCTTCAGTTTCTTATCCACTTCTGACATGCCTGCTATAAGATAAAAGTGGAATGTACAAATAGGTTTTTGTTTAGAAATATGGAAAACTAACAGTAATCTGTGCAACTACTTAGCAGGATACCTGAATTCATGCACAGAGTTAATGGGGAAAAAAAAAAGACAACTACTTGGAACTAAACATTTTTTTCTCATATGGATTACCAATGCACTATCAGTGTCCATCCTTTGGAACCAATAGTTATTTTTATTTTTTTTATTTTTTAACTTTCATCCTGTCATAGGCCAATGAATACGCTGATGCTCAAAGGACAATTCAGTTTTGCTGAAATTCACTCTTGGGTTGTGTTTTGCTTGCCTGAAGTCCCTGAAAGGACTCCACCTGGAGAGAGTGTCACCTTTTATTTTCAAAACACCTTCCTGGGTACCCAGCTTGAAAGTACTTACAGGTAAAATACGATTACTAAAGCACTGGGTGGCTGTGTTTTGATTTTTGTCTCTCTCATTCTCGATTGCTCTGTGAATATCTTTTCATACACATTCTGCTGTTCCTCTCCAATTTGTTTCTAGAGTTTGAAGAACAAGAATAAATAATATAGTTGAGTTACTTCGTGACGAGCATTAGTTTCTACTTTCCTATGTTTTTTTTTTGTTTGTCTGTTTGTTTTTGTACTGAGGAATGGAAACAACTTGAGAAGCATTTAATATTCATGCAGACAAAATGTGAATAAGCATTTTTCTGAAAACCTATTGCTGCAACTTAGATTAAATGTGTCTAAGATCAGTACTCTGTTTATGACTTAATTAGTTATATCTTCCTTCAGCAAAGAAGGCATTAATTTGTAGGTCTTTTATCTTAAAACATAGACATATCTAATGCTTGCATCTGCTTGTAAGTTTGTTCAACATAATCTTTTTTTCCCTTTATAGAATAGGTGAGGGATGTTTCAAGTCTGACAATATTTCTACAATATCCATCCTAAAAGATGTTCTTTCCAAAGAGGCTACTAAAAGGAAGATTAATCTCAACATATCATTTGGTAAAACTTTATCTATTTTATTGTCCTTTGCATCATTTTATATTCTCATAAATGGAATATGTATTGCTCATTCGTTTGTTGGGGTGTGTTGTTTTGTTTTGTTTCCTGCTACTAGATATAAATGAAGAATCTGTGAGGCATACATTAAAACTCATCCACCCCAAATTAGAGTATCAGCAGCTGTTGGCCAAGAAGGTTCATTTAATAGATGCTTTGAGAGTAAGTATTTGAGCTCCCGTGGAAGGATTTTGTTAGAGATTGTGCTGTCAGATATCAAACTGTTGTGGCTCAAGTCAGAGGCATGTCGTACTGGTATGTGTGTTCCCAGGACATGTACTTCAATTACCTAGTAGACAGCCTTCTGGAAGAAAATTCCTATTGGTGCTATATCATTATTGTATAACGTGGGATTACTGATAGATGTTGAAGATGCCTAAGTCAAACAGTATAAGGCAGCCAGATTTGCCATCTTACGTTCTTTTTGCTACTGTTATTTTCCAGTTCCATCTTCATCTCTCTGCACTAACCTTTTAAAGTTTTTTAGCTCTAGATATGATGGTCCATGCCAGATAAGACTTCCTTGCTTTGGGCTGTCATCCCAATGTGTCATCATTTCTGAAGTTTCTCTATTCATAATTAATCTCTGCCTAATCTCTTCAATGGTTAATCTCTGAGAGATGTCACTTTGTCAGCTTGTCTGAGTTTTTGGATTTCTCCAACAGCCAGGATTTTATAATCCAAAACCAGCTGTAATCTTTTGTTGTGTTTTCTGGAGGGAAGAGGGGGGGGATAAAAATGGACTCCTTGCCCTTTGGTGGAATCAAACGCTAGTTTTAGACCTCTTTCATCAGCAGAAAAACTTGCAGTAAGCACAGTGATCTGACAATTGTTGGGAGCATTTTAGGATTGTGTACGATGCCTCTAGAATTTCCTTTTATGTTCAGACTGTTAACGTGTTATGCTTTCTAGGAATTTCCTTATTCTAAAACTGAAGCGTGGTGAAAGCTTTTAGCCTTCATTAGACTTCATTCTGTAAGGGCTGAGCTGTAGAGGATTTTGTAAATCTAGAGTATGAAGTGACAAGCAACATCTCATGTTTTGTTAGAAGACCTAAAAGATGAGGCTCTTTTGAAAATAGCTCTTCCTAGTTTAGAAGGGGATTGTCTTGCTTCTGAAATGCTTCCTCCTGTCACACCCAAGCTTAATTTCTTTTTACTGTTATGTTCTTAAGCTACCTAACTGCCTTTGATTTTTATGATGTAAATATCTTTGAGGAATTACAAGTTCAAGAAGGAAACGTGGACTTCTTGGTGCCAGAATACCGCTGTATTTTGGAAGAGGCAGATCAACTGCTTGAGGAATACAAGAAACAACCTGCACATCTTGAGAGGCTTTATGGTTTGTTGATCAATTAAACTTTTTGTCCTAACTGCAAATTAATGCTCAGAGAGCGCACCCTGGACATCACTGAAGTAGTTATGAAGTAAGCATTAGTAGAGCTGAAATGATTTGATAGGTAGGTACACCTCAGTAGCTTCAGAACTTCTGTACATTTTACTCAGTAGCTTTTTAAATCTGTACAATGCTTGTCTTTTTTGGCAAGATTAAGGGACATGATTCAGAATTGCATTTAAGAATGTATAGGTGACTGATGAATTTCCCAGTGCTGAAGTGTTACACAATAACAGAAAAATGAACGTGGGGTAGAAGGGGAGAATCTTAGGGGAAGATCTGATTTAGCGAAGGAAATTCTGTAACCTTCTCCAATGTTCCCCATACAGCTTTCAGCTTTAACACAGTGCCTACTCTGTGAGGTTGGTTCCTTTCTCAGTTCAGAGGTAGGTACATGTGAGGCAGTACATGTGAGGTACATGTGAGGCACGTGGAAATAAAGCTGATTGCTAGGCTGTTGTAACGTGACATCAGTTGAAAAAGTCTTCTCTCTAAAACCCAAACCAGCTGGAAGAGTTGGTACATAATGAGGAGCTCAAAGCAGAGATACTCCATACTGAAAATAGAGCCAAGTGTAAGTCTTGGAATTTTACCTTTGCAGGTATGATCACAGATCTCTTCATAGATAAATTTAAATTTCGAGGCACCAACGTGAAGAGCAAAGTTCCTCTCCTGCTGGAGCTGCTGGATGGCTGTGAGCAGGACCGGCTGATCGCGTTCTTTGAGGCTGCATCCTGAGCGGGAAGCGAGGAGAGAGCGTGCAGTGCTGCCTGTCCTTCCTCGGCTCGTTTCTTTGTTTGGTTAAATCGCGGTGTTACAGGTGGTTTTGATGGAAGGAAAAGTCCTCTTTTTTTGTAATGCCAGTTCCTTCGTGTGCTCTATTGCCGTGCTGAGTGCGGTAGTCACTTCCAGTTCGTACAGATCGCTCCCGTGCGAAGCTGCACACGCGTTCCTATGCGCGCAGCTGATCTTTGCACCTCAAGCGAACGTACAGAAACAGCCGTAACCACCAGCCTTTTTCCAGAATGCATGTTCAGTACTGTTAAAAGCTATGCACGGGGAGCAGGGGGGTAGGAATGTAAGAACGATGTTTTTAAAACGCGCTTAGAAGCCTGTACGCCCGAAACTCGAGTTTTTAATTAAAGCTTAATTAAAGTTTCTAAACCAAGTCGCGCTGGAGGAGCGCGGTGCGCCTGCGCGCTCGCGGGGCGGGGCGGGGCCGAATGGCGCGCGGGGGGCGCGGCGCAGGCGCGGCGAGGCGCTCCGGCTCCGCCCGCCGCGTCGCCGGGAAGCGCGTGACGCGCCGCGGGCCGCCGCCGCTCATTGGGCGATTCAATAGTCGCGGGCTGCTCGAACGGAGAGAGCGGCGCCGCGGCGCGAGACTCCGCGGCGGCGGGACGCCGGCACGAGCCGCCCATCCGCGTCCCCGCGCTCCGCGGCCGCCCCCGGCCCTTTCCCCCTTCCCCGCTTCTGCTCCCCGCCCCGGCCGCCACCATGCTGGCGGAGCAGGAGAACCAGGAGAACGTCCCTCCGGCCGCCAAAGCCCCTCCGCCCGCCGCCGGCACCCGCGTGGCGCTGGGGCTGCTGCGGGGCGGCCCGGCGCGGCCGGGGCTGGCGCCGCAGGTGAGCGGCGGGGCGCGGGGGGCGGCGGACGGGCGGGCGCCATCTTGGGGCGGCGGGCGGCTGTCAGGGCGGCTGTCACGGCGCGCTGACGGACCGCTTCCGCAGGCGGCGCGGAACGGAGAGGGCCGCGGCGCGGCGGCGGGGCAGCAGGCGCGGCAGCAGCCCTTCAGCGTCTACGTGGACGAGGAGCCCGACGAGGAGCGGCGGCGGCCCCAGAGGAAGAAGGAGCGGGATGAGGAGGCGGCGGACGCGCCGGGGCCGCGGGCCGCCCTCGGGACCGCGGGGGAGCGGCGGCCCCTGGCGCCCCTGGGCAACGCCATGGAGCTCAGCCTCGGTAAGCGGCGGCCCTGCCCCCCTCGGCGCCCGGGGCGAGGGCCCGGCGTGCGGAATGCGGCTGCGGGACGGGACTGGGAGCGCGGCGTGCGCCGGGCGGCCGGGGAAGGGCCGCTCAGCGGGGGGAGCGGGCCGCTCCCTGCTCTTGAGCCGTGCCTCGGCTTCCCCGCGGCCTGCTCGGCCCCCGGATGGCATGGGTGGCCGCCCGCCCGCCAGCGGCGTCGCCACAGCCGTCGGGGGCTTCTGCCGGGCCCCGTGCTATCGCGGCCCTTGCCTTCCTCCTAGATTCCCCGAGTATCATGGATATCTCCATCACTTCAGAAGCGGAAGAGAGACCAAACGTTAACAACGTGCCGGACTATGTCAGCGATATCCACACGTACCTCAGGGAAATGGAGGTGAGATGCCACCCGCTCTCTTGTTTGCATATTTGGGCCGAGTGCATCTGAGGATAAGTCACTGCTGCAGTGACTGAAGTAAAGCTAGGAATAAGCAAGTTCCCCTGCTTCCTGCTGGGAGGTTGGCTGTGCTCTGCACTGAGTGCAAGCTGCAAAGAAGATGGTGCAAATGTAGCTTTCTGAGTCCAGATTTACCGTTGCTTACTTGTGAGCTGTTAAAAACAATCTAGATATGGTAAATGGAGTATGAGTGACTGCTTCCCTACAGGCATCCAGTCCAGACTCAATCTTGTCTGTCATCTGAACCTGCAGGTAAAATGCAAGCCTAAAATAGGCTACATGAAGAAGCAGCCTGACATCACCAACAACATGCGGGCTATTCTGGTGGACTGGCTGGTGGAAGTTGGAGAAGAATACAAGCTCCAGAATGAAACTCTGCACTTAGCTGTAAATTACATTGACAGGTTTCTTTCTTCAATGTCTGTTTTGAGAGGAAAGCTTCAGCTTGTGGGTACCGCGGCCATGTTGCTTGCATCGTAAGTGAAATTTCTTGATTGAAAATTCTACCTGCTGGTTTCATACTGATGGAAATCATGTAGCTTTCATAAGATAGTCTGTAGTCATATTGTCTAGCAAGGGCTTCGTAATAGGTTAAAATATATAAAAGCGTGGCAGCCCACGTGAAGCTTTGCAGGTGAGGTTGCAGGCTGTCTTTGTAGATTGGCCTAACGTGAGGATTTCCAGATGCAGGAACGAAAGGCTTCTCAACAGTAATTAAGCAACAGTAAGAAAGTGTATGAAAAGACAACTTGGTTTTCTTCTGGAGTTTCAGCAACTCTTAAGTCCTAAATTACTTAATCCCCAAATAACAGACTGTTGGAACTCTAACTTCAAATTCAGCTGATGCAAAACCTACCAAAGTGAGTGCAGCAGACTTGCTCAGTCACTGTATCTAGCTGCTTTGGGAGTCAGAAGATAATTTAGCACACTGGTTTTCATGAAGCGTTGCCGGCTACCTGATTCTTTAGTCCCTAACTCTTTGCTTCTGTTTCTCATGGCAGGAAGTTTGAGGAAATCTACCCCCCTGAAGTAGCAGAGTTTGTCTACATCACAGATGACACCTACAACAAGAAGCAAGTTCTGAGGATGGAGCACTTAATTTTGAAGGTTTTGTCATTTGATTTGGCAGCTCCAACGATCAACCAGTTCCTCACTCAGTATTTCCTGCACCAGCAGACAAATGCTAAAGTTGAGAGCTTATCAATGGTAAGGCTTGCTAGCTCGGTCTGTGGAACTGTAGAGTTCTGTCATTAATGCACTTCACAAGAGCTGTATTTGTACAGATGAGGTAGAGGACTTTTTAGACTGGACTTTTCTATCTCCTAATATGTTCAAGCATGTAATCTCTCTGGGAGACATCTGAAAAGTGCACGTGATATGCCACGGGCTCCTCCAGAAGCAGTTCTGTACTGCTGGAAGCAACAGTGTCGTTGCTACTGTTTGAGATATCCCATTAATATTACAGTCTGGTACTCCTCCTGGCTCCACATGAATGCTTACTCAAAGCAGGCCAAGTCTGCTGAATTTTAGTTTGGGGTTTGTTTCCCTGCTACCTGTTTCCCATGTTTCTGTCTAAAATTGCCACACATGTACCTGCCCTCTCACTGAGGCAGAAAGGATTTTTATTTTTCCCCTCAACAGGCACTGAGCTCTACATCCAGAGGCCAGTTTCTCAGCAGAGCACAGACAGTGCCTCAGCTGAAGTTATCTTAAAGCCTAACCGTATTGCTGGTACCAGAGTTCCTACATGAATGCCTTTGTCGCATTGTGCAAACGTCAGACTAATAATTCTTTCTTCTTGACATCAGATGTCTCTAAAGATTAAATACATTGAAAAAGCTTGCATGAGAAAAGTGTTGGACGCTAGCTGACAGTAGACGCTATGAGAGAAATATTTGGGGGTATGCTCCTTGCGTTCTGTTGCTGTTCTGTGACTCTCAGAATCATAAGTGGCAGTATAGTGTGCTCTCAAGTTTTCTGCGTCATTGCCTGCTTTAATATGAGTAAGCTTTGTCTTAAAGAGTATCAGCACTAATCCAAAGGAACAAATCTGTGGGCTAAGAGTAAGTGGGAACTGGTAAAAACTGTTCCTCCATTTGATGGCAGGATTTAGAAGCTTAAATTCCTATCCAAATGAAGCTGCTTAAATGCTCTTCTACTTCTTTTTGGAAGCAGATGATTCACTTTCCCTTGTCTCCCTTGCAGTATCTTGGAGAGCTGACTCTAATTGATGCTGATCCTTACTTGAAATACTTGCCATCAGTTATTGCTGCTGCAGCATTTCATCTAGCAAGCTATACGATCACTGGACAAACTTGGGTATGTAACACTAAGACTTGAGCCTTCACATACCTTTATGCATGCTTCGTGTAATTGAAGGGAGTTTTGAATGCTGAGGCCTACGCTGTTGAGTTTTGGGCTGTTGGAGTTGGCAGCCCTTCCGTATCAGATTATGGTATTTGAAAGATAGGGATGTACCTTTTTTGGGAAGGCAGAGGCATCTGTGATTGCACTGTGTTCTATTCATCCTCCTCAAAGCTGTAAACAACTCCCTCAGGATGAGGGAGCGGGCAGAAAGCCTAAGTAATGGAGGCAAGGAATACTTCTGCTCTGCAAAGAATACAGTAGTTCTCAGGATTCCTATAGACCCACAGGAGTGCTTCAAATCTGGGCAGTGATTATTGAGCTGCTTTCTGAGATAATAAAACTGCCAGCATACTGGGATAACACCATTTCAACAGGGAAGCTTGAAAACCTCCACCAGAGTGATGCAAAGATATTTCAGTGTTCCTCCTTTTTCCTCAGCCTGAATCTCTGTGCAAGGTGACAGGCTACACCCTTGAACATATTAAGCCTTGCCTCACGGACCTTCACAAGACCTACCTCAAAGCAGCACAGCACACACAACAGTCCATAAGGGAAAAGTACAAGAGCACAAAGTAAGTATCTGCAGAGACGTGTGGTGAGCCAGTTTGCTCTGCCTGAGCTTAACTGGGGCTGGGTGGGTTAACTTGGGAAGTCTGAAGTCACACCAAAGTGGTGTAAGTGAAATGGTTGAAGAGACCCTCAAGGTCCTTGCACAGTGCTTTGTTGAGCAGTGTTTCATGTTCACCAGGCCTAGTGTAACTACTCAAACCGCTGCCTGCACTGGGTAGGTAGAAACTGGAGGAGTTGACTTGGAAATTCCTACCGTAGCTAGGCAGGAGAGTGTATGAAATGCTTCAAAAAATCCATGCTGGCGTGGTGGCTGACATGCTCCAAAATGCTTCCAGCTGGCTGAGCCTTGTAAGCAATGTGCTTTACTGCAGTATCCGTGTTATTTTTTTTACAGCAGAGAGCACTTCAGCAAGATTCCATCTTGCATCTCTTTGTGTTTTTTCCCTTCTCTAGGTACCATGCAGTATCGCTTATTGATCCACCAGAGACACTAGATTTGTAATAATCAAGAGACTTATCTTTTAAATACGTAGATGTATATTACAAGAAAATGATGTACAGTTTTTAAACGTGGTTCAAAGTTCTAGGTGTGATTACTCAGAATATTAATGCAGGTTTTGATGAGCTTAATTCTGAAGTTAGGTTTATGTGGTTTTAATGTAAATCTTTTGTACATGCAGTCTTCTTAAAATATGTAGCTATGTTTTTATAAGAATGTTCTCTTGAAGCACAGAAGTAACCATGAAGACCAAGTCAAGTCTGAGACTTATCTAATTATAGACTTAACAGTAATACTAGCAGTGTATTATTATCACAGGACTCTTTCTCCTTCCAAGTAAGAGGGACTCCACACTGGTATTTGTAGCATTTTTATACTCCTTAATCTAAGCTGAGACTTAGTATGACTGAACAGCTACAGTACTGGAAGAAACTGTATTGCTATGAGGAGAACACCTTGCTGAAATTAACTTTTGTGAGGCTCTCTGGGATGTGCTGGTTACTGGAAGCCCTGATTTCTCTTTAATGGATTACGTGCTCTTCATCATACAAGATTCAGTGCTCTGCTGCAGGAACTGCACAGCTGAAACTAGTAAACTACATATAGAAAGTGGTCTTACTGTAGTTATTTTCTAGTTAAAGTGTAAAACTGATACTAACTTTAAACCTGTGGAGTTCCCACTAATGCTTTGGCTTTCCCAATAGCCCATCAATGTAGTAAATAAACCTACAGCCTGCTTACCTCTTTAGGGGTGGTGGAAAGATTATACTGCAGGAGAGCGAATTACTGCTCTGCGTCTTGGAGAGGAGGCAATGTCTACTAGGGTGTGTGGGCTGTGTGCAGAATGGCACTAATTCTGTACATCCCTCTCAACTGGGAAGGATTCCTTCTGTGGCATGCAGCAAAAATGTAAACCAAGTGATTTTACTTTTCCTTAGTTATTAGAACTGCTACGTGAACAATCTAGCGTGTGTCATTTGATGAAATGAACATCTACCTTCAACCTGTATAAATGGAGTGATGCTCCCTGTACCTACTGTTCTTTGTGTATGTAAAGAAGTGAGCGCAAGGAGGTGCTGGATTTAACTGAGCCATTTCTAGGTTGGCAAATAAACAAGTTTTATACCTGCTCTTAGCAGTCTTGCCAATACCTTAAAGTCACTACCTCGTAGTAATACCATCTTAAGTCAGCATTGGTTTTGATTCTTTTTGGCAAGGCCTGCCCCTTGCCAAACCTGTGCCCCTTAAACTTCAAGTTGATTCAACACTGGTTATCTGCACACCTAGCAGTATAAATTCTATGTATGTGTGAAGTAGTGGGTGTGGGCTATTTAAGGAAAAAAAAAGAAAATCAGCAGCCATCTATCAAGCTGCCATACACGCATTACTGTGAAACCATTTATACATCTAGATTCAGTTACTGAAAGCTTGCTCTGTGGTTCAAGCCCTCCATGAACCAGTTCAGTTACTAAACTGCTCTAGTCAAGTGACTCATCCAGTTAAGGCAAAAGTATGCAACAGAGGCTGCTTTTTAGCTAAATGTAAGCCTTTTAGGATGTACTTTAACCCTTCCACATATCCTAAAGTTTAACAAAGAGCCACATTCTGTTGGCCGACCGTGTTCTTCAGTAGTCTTCAGTTAGTTTAATTTCAATATCTTACCATTGGAAAAGCTAAAATCAGTTGGGAAAGACTGTGCAGTATATCATGTCTACTGCTTAGTATTAGAAATGCTCTACCCTTGCAGGACAGGCAGTATGTATGTACAGGAATACATGTGCCACAGTTGTGACATGAGCTGTTGACCTTGGAAGATCAAATAAAGAAGCTGCACTGGTCAGTATCTTTTGAAGATCACAATACTCTTTGTGAGAAACAGGCTTCTGTTTTCACCTTCCTGTGGCATCTGCTGGGTAACTTTCAAGACCACTAAGAAGCACAAAAAGTGGAAGAGGAGTTAATTTTAGAGAAGCATATGAATTATTTTCTGCAAAGAGTAGGTATCAGTGAAGTGAATGGACATCAGTATTATAGCTGCTTAATGAAATATCTCCTTGCTGTTTTGAATGGAAGCCATTATTTTATTTTTCCCATAGCACAGAAAAAAATTCTCCTTTGCTCCCTCAGTAGCAGTATCTGATATAACTTACTTCCTGTACAGCCTTAATGCCTTAGTCACAGGCTGCCATCTCTGCTTAGTATGCCTATGTTCCTCTGTGCTTGCTGACAGATGCAGTAATGTTCTTTTTCATCTTTTCATTCTCTAAAGCTAACATGGGGGAAGATTCTAGCTCTCACTTCCACATTTTGATTAAAAAAATCCCAAGTTGTGCTGTAGTACTGTTTTGCCTATCCACTGTACCTTCTCCCATTCTGAAATAAAGCCTCTTGGAATGGAGGATGTCAGCTGTTAAGCAGGAAAAGAAGATAAATAGTAGTGGCAAAGTATACTACTTGTGTTCTTTAAAAAGCTTAAGGGCTTGTTGGAAAAAAAGAAACAATTGGTGTGCAGAATATGTTGCGGAAGAACAACCAACCTTCACTCACGTCTGTGCTCTACAGTAACTTTGGTAGGGAAGAACTGACACTAAGATAATGCACTGATTTAGCTCCTGGAGGGACAGGACTTTCTGTGTTTGTCTCTTCCTACATCTAATTACAGCTTTGGTAGGGAGCAACTTGTTTTTTTCCACTATTCATTTCTAAAAGTGATGCTGGGAAATAGTATCTGTGACAACTCCATGTCTCCTGTTCATGTCATATAAAACTGAAAAAATAGTCCTACATTACTCTTGTAAATATGTGCATGTTTCTAATTTACTTGGTTTTCAAAACAAAGCAGGCAGGTTTGAGACATCCTCTCTCTTGCCAGATATTAAATTCAGAGCCTAATTCTTTGAATATAATTCAAGAAAAATTCATGTCTGTGCATGTAATATTTAATTAAACTTTTCAAAAAACTACTGAGGTATGAGCTGCCTCTGTATGGAAGTTCTACAGCCTCTTTTCTCCTGACCAGAACTATGCATCAATGTATGAGTCATTCACACTGGAATGGTGAGTAGTCTGTGCTGCAGATGGACGATACCATACTTTCACTTACATTAACATTTTATTTTAAGCTGTGTACAATTACATAAAATATACAAAGATACAGGATGAGAGTTGGGGGGGAGGAAATAAAATTGTCTACAAATATAAATTCAGTAATAAAAAAATGTCACATTCTATGGCATTACTGAAGGGGATGGCTTTAGCGTGAAGCTCTCTTCTTTCTCCTCTTTTTGTTAAATGCTTTCTTACTTGTATTTTCTTGTTTCAAGTTGGTCTGTGGTCTGAGAGTAAATAACACTTTATCAAATGACTGTACTATGGAGTTCCATCTCAAAAGAACAGGTTTGTCATCTTTAACAGGACAACCATTCACTGTGTTCAGTGCTAAGTTCAGTTTCTAGAAAGCATTCTAAATACAATGATGGTTACCATGGCTAAAGTAAGGATACAACGGTAAAACTAACTTACTTGAGATAAAACTTAAGATTAGTTATAATGTGGCAGCTCAAATTCACCTTTAAGCTCTGGTTCCTTCTGAAGTGATTAAGACCAGTCAAATATCTGAAAAGCACAGGAGGCTGTGTGACCCTGTGGTTGTACCACCACGCTCAGGCAGGCCCAGGTCACACAAGTGCTCAGTGCGGTGGGGCTGTGCCCCAGCCAGCAGCACTGCTGGGAGTTGGGCCAGTGCATTTTTAAGGAAAACACACACTAACTTCTTACCCCATCACTCCTTATTTTATTGAAAGATGACTACTGAACTGGAGGTGGCCAGGTTAGATAGGGCCCCAGGCAACTTCATGTAGGGAGTGGCAACCCTGCCCCTGCCAGGGGGTTGGAACTAGATGATTTTTAAAGGTCCCTTCTGACCCAAACCTTTCTAGGAATCTGTGATCCACAATCATCTCAGATAGGAGAGGAGCAAACTAGCACAGCTTTTAATTTCCTCACTCCGCTACATAATCTTGATCAACCAAAACCTCTCTTGGCATGGGCAAAGTTCTGAGCATAGGCCATGAACATCCTGTTGTCAAGTATCCTTTACCAACTCCCTCCTCTTAATTTCATATGGTGTTTACCTTGTTTTCTTTGGTTCTTCCTGTGGTTCCAGAATGACAACTTCTTCCTCTTCACTGTCAGACAGTACAATAGGTTCATCTAGAAGAAAAAATAGTTAAAAACTGATCCAATATGTATGAACACCTTCTGTGACTAGTAACTGCAGCGCTTTTTAAAGTGATGCTCAGAAGTGGAAAAACAGGCTTACAACTACCAGTGCTTATTCTGGAGCTCTTCAATGTACTACTAAAAACAAGCTTTCTTTTGAAGAAAACAGATGTACAGGTGAAGTCAAAGTACCAAACAAGTATAACTTCCAAAAAGAAAGTGACTACGATGGTTCTTTCTTCCTAAGGATATCTTGCACTTTTCTACCCCTTAATAATTTACACTTGAAGTGATATAAATAAATGCATGTGGTATCAAGATAAATAAATACCTTTAGCTTCACTCATCGTATTTGTATCTTCTGTTTCTGTTCTCTGGCATTCAAAAGCAGTAGCACTGCTTTCACCTTCCTCTTCTGCTGCGTCTTCCCTCTCAGATTCCTCAAGGTCTCCCCAGGCATTCTCTATTCCTTCCCCAATTTGGGCTGTGCCAGGAGTGTGCAATATTGGCTTGGCAAAACTGAAGTAGTTAAGAAAATCTTGGAGTTAGTAATCTCAATGTATAAAGGCAAAATAATAGATTTTCAGCTGTAACTTTTCTCCCTGGGCCTTCAGTGAAAGTTAAGAAAGAGTACTCTTTCTCCAGATAGTGTGACAACTAGTTACTTCAGCCCTGTTTTGCACTTTATGTTAAGAATTAATTCAACTAAAAAACAGTCAGAACTAAAATCAGTGTAAGGTTAATGTTTCCTCTGAAGGCTATGAGGCTACCCTGAGCCATCAGATAGCTTGGGTGTTCTAGCTTCTAGAAGTGCTAATGCAGATAAGAGGAAAGAGTTTTGTTTTTTTTTTTTCCTGGAATAATAAATAGAAAACATACACTTCTGAAGGAGGGTCAGCTTTAGTGATGATCTCTTCTGCTTGTTCTTCCACATTGTTGGTATCTACAGCAGCACTGTCCATTTTGAAGGCAGTGATCTTTTGATTTGGTATAGATTCTGCAAAGCCAAACTTCCCACCTTCTTTCCTAGTCATTCAACAACAGACAGTATTTCAGGATATTTCACATTTATGAATATTTTTCAGGTATAGAAATACTTGCTATTTTAAATGATTACAAAAACAACTTGCTGTTTTATTACAAACTGGCATTAACTTTTAAAGTATTTCTTAAAAATACTTATCTCCATTCCTTCCCAAAAAACTCACCTAACTTTCTGGTCGTTCTCCAAAGCTTTCTGAATTAATTCTGTTATTTCTGCAACCTTAACAGCTGTTATTTTACTGCATCTCAGAACCTGTACGTTACAAATACAGTAACAGTTTAGAATCATGAAAACAAGACTTTTAAAATAGAACCATAGAACAGATCATAAGAATAACAGATACTTAAATGTTTTCCTTGACTTTTACCTGATCCTTTAATAGCATAATCCCTCCGCTAGACTGAATGGTACAAATTTCACAATGTTTATTCATGGCAATTACAAGGAGGCCATCCATTACACGTTCCTCTCGTTCATTTGGATCCACCAACAAGTAAGACCTAGAATTAAGATTTTAGTATAAGATGACAACAGAAGTTTGAGACTGACCTTGACTCCCCCATTACAATTTTCTGCCTATCTATGGAAGCTGCTGGCTACTTACACACTGCGCAGAATGCATATGAATGTGTTAAAAAAAATCTGTCTGTCAACATGAGTATTTTCACAATGTTATGGAACAACAATTTTGCAGAACTGACAATAAGTTGTTTCTGTCAAGAAAGGCTTTAAAAAAATAAATCTTACCCCCGCTGGAAGAAGGCAAAACTCACACAAATAGGCATGTGGTGGATGCTCAGGGGCACAGGATCACGTTCCTCAGGAGAGTACTTAGAAAAGAATTGGTCCAGAAGACAGTTATGACATTCTATTTTAAAAGGATGTATTGTACAAGAAAGATTTAAAGAAACAGAAAGAAAAAGATCTAGTCACCTAAATATTAATTAAAAAACTCTTTTGTTCTTATGTAATACTTTCCGTTTACTTATGGAGGTAAACAGAATATTGCCATAAATTGAAACTGAAATAGTCTTACACACAGCAGGTTTGCTTCACTATCCTTTTACATTTTGAATAGGAACACATTTATCCTACAGCTCTTTAAGCATCTTGAGTTTATCTGCTTACATCAGTATTTAATTCCACCCTTTTGTAAACCAACAGCTACTGGCAGTATGAGGCTTACTGCAACCTGGTATGACTTACCACTGTTACTTCTTTCCCTTGCACAGAAACATCTGGTCTGCGAAAATGGCACAGGGCCACGATTCCTGCTATGCTGGCAGCATCAATAATGTTACCATCATGATTTAACAGGTGCAGATCCACACGAATTTGCCAGACCTGAGGGAAAACATGCATAACTGCTTGGTAAATGTGTAACATGATTCCACAGAAGCTATTGCTTTTCCAAGACACTTCCAGTCTTTGAATACAAAAAGGAGCAGTTTACATTCCTCAAGTTAAGAAGTTAGGATGAAAAACCTTGGTACATTCAAGGTACCAGTGTGCTAGATTTAAAATGCTGGTTTATTTTGACAAAATAAACAACAATTAAATACAATTTAAACTTTGTTTTACAAAGAAATACGTTCAAGTACACACATCCTAACTATTCCAAAAGCATCTGTAGATCGTTAAGTTAAAAATATCTATAAAGCAAGAAAAAAATACTCAAAAGTCCAGTATTCAAAACAAGACAGAGCACCTGAAAAAGTGACTTATGTTTAAAATCATGAAATATGTTTACACATTATTAAATTCAAGAAATGTTTAGATATTGTACTAAGGGACGTGGCTTAGTGGGTAAATATTGGTGGTATGTGGATGGTTGGACTGGATTATCTTAGAGGTCTCCTCCAACCTTGGTGATTTTACGAAATCATCTGAAACTGGGAGTTTTTCCCCCCCTACCTTTTCACCAGCATTTTTCTCCCTACCTTTTCACCAGCAACAACGCAGAGGGACTCAGTATCTATACATTTGGAATTTCTCAGACATCGTTCTATAAGTCTGTTCACTTTCACCAATAACTCAGATTGCCTGTTCAAACAAAATTAAATTACACATAATTACGCTACGCACTTGTGCGTGTCAAAACAATGGTTCATATGTCATCCTCACCTGGACTTTTTAAGAAAGCTACATACCTGCCAGGCTCAAATCCAGGCGCAGCCATCGGTGAGAGCTCAAGGTTACAGAAGAGTATACCTTCTGTAGCCCGATTTGGCTTCGGGGGAACAAGTTCACACGAGACTTGCCCAAGAACCCTGCAGAAGAAATAAACAGCTAGGCTACAAAGTTTAGCAGGAAAACCACCTAACAGTGAAAACAAAATATATACAAAAGGAAAACCCAAGTGGATGTTTTTCAACACATTTCTCATTGCTCAACTCAAGTTTCTCACTCAAATCCTGTATTTAAACGCTAAGTCAAAGATGAAAATAACTACATCTAGAAATCAGAACATTTTTCTAACATCTAGAATTAAAGCAAGCCTCAAAACACTGGAGAACTGGAGTACTGCACCCAGACCGGGGGCCGCAGCATTGAGAGGATGTAGTTGCTGCAGCGGGTCCAGCGGAGAACCACGAAGATGATCACTGTAATGGAGCAGCTCTCTTACAAAGACAGGCTGAGGGGAGAAGAGCAGGCTCCACAGAGCCCTCACTGCAGCCGTCCAAATACTCGAGAGAAACATAAACAGGAAAAGAACCAATTGTTTACGCGGTCTGATATCGACAGGACAGGGGGGCAGCTTTAAGCTAAAAGCGGGGAGATTGACGTTATTTGTTAAAAGTAAATTCCTCACTCCAAGAGCGGCGGGGCGCCGGCACGGGCTGCCCGTTGAGCAGCGGATGCCCCACCCCGGAGACCGCAACGCGCGGACCTCCCGCCAGCCGGCCGCTCCCACCTGGTCTTCCCCAGCTCCACCACGCAGCAGCCGTGCTCGGGCCCGAAGGAGATGCGCACATTGCGGTAGTCGTAGCACTGCCGCCCGTCCAGCCGCTGCGGGGACACGCGCACACACACGGGACGGTCAGCGCACCACGCCGGGCCGGGAGCGGCCGCAACGAGGGGCCGCGCCGCCCCGCACCTGAGAAGGGGCCGGGGCAGAATACAGGGAGGTGAGCCCGGCACCGCACCTTCCTCTCCTGGATGGCGCGCAGCAGGAAGCGCCGCTCGCAGTTCGACAGCGGCGTCTCCTTCATGCCGGAACGCGACCGCACGCACAGCGCGAGCTCGGCCCGCGCGCTGCGATTACGTCATCAGCACGCGGCGGCTGGAAGGCGGTAGCGCGCAAGCGCGCGGCTTCAACCTCCCGCCTCGAGCCGCCTCGCGACTGCGTGCGGCCAACGGGCGCCCCCTGGCGGAGGGCGGACTCGCGATACTTAGGTGTAGGCGCTCACAAACGGGCCGATCATCGGGGAAGTCGGCCGGAATCAAAAACCTGCGTACCAGAACATAGGCAATCAGATTTTTCTCACGCACAGTTGTGGAGACATCTTAATTACGCTAGCTTGTATCTTTTTAAACTTTATTAACACACTTAAGAAATCCTAGTGCAAACAAAAACATGAGGGATGCTTCAGAAATGCCAAGTTTCTGTGAGCAGGGACACATGTTGCCCATTTCTACACTGGTTTTAAGTTTTCAGAGTATACACGATACACGAGGATCATAAAAATGTTTAGTCAAAAAGAATATTGGCATAAGATTGCAGAGGCCATCTTTCTGTCAACAAATTTAAGTAAATAGTTTTATCAAATGGTACAACAGGTGAAGCAATACAAAGGAACAAAGCAACTTAACACTTGCAGCTTTCCCTATAGCCAAAAAGATGGTAACATTTTGAGTAAGTGTCTCTCTCCTTGCTGCTATATTGCTGATTATCATAGACTCATTAAGGTTGGAAAACCCTCTAAGATCATTTAGACCAAACGGCAATCCATGCCTGTAAAAGCTCTAGACCACATCCCCTCAGTGCCACATCCGTCCTTTCCTTGAACACCTCTGGGGATAACTCCACCACTTCCCTGGGCAGCCTGTGCCAATGCATCACTACTCTCTCTGAGAGGAAGTTTTTTCCTAACACCCAACCTGAACTTCCCCTGGTGCAACTTGAGGGCATTCCTTCTTGTCATATCACTGTTACCCAGAAGAGGCCGTCTCCACCTTACCACAGCCTCCCTACAGGCTGTTGTAGAGAGGCACAAAGTCTCTCCCAAGCCTTCTCCAGACAAACATCCCCAGCTCCCTCAGCTGCTCCTCATAAGACTTGTGCTTCAGATTCCTCACCAGCTTCATTGCCCTTCTCTGGACATGCTCTAGGACCCCAATGTCTTTCTTGTAGTGAGGGACCCAAAACTGAACACAGTACTTAAGGTGCAGCCTCACCAGGACTGAGAGCAGAGGGCCGATCACATCCCTGCTCCCATTGGCTGCACTAGTTCGGATACAAACCAGGATGCCATTGGCACCTGCCAGCTGACACTGCCAGCTGTCAACTAACATGCCCAAATCTTCTTCTTTCTCCCAGGGCAGCTTTCCAGCATCTCTGCCCCAAGCCTGTAGTGTAACATGGAGTTGTCGTGACTGAAACTCAGGATGTGGCACTTGGTCTTGTTGGAGCTCATACCATTGGTCGCAACCCACTGATTCAGCCCATCCAGGTGCCTCTGTAGAGCCTTCCTACTGTCAGGCAGATGGACATTGGAGTAAACGCTTCTTTTCACTGAGAAATCTTCACTTTTATTGGAGTAGCCCACATTAAAGTCAACCTACCTTGCTATTTCTTTCCACCTTTTTATTGAAAAATAGAATGGCCTGGGTTGAAAAGGACCACAATGATCATCTAGCTTCAACCCCCTGCTACGTGCAGGGTTGCCAACCACCAGACCAGGCTGCCCAGAGCCACATCCAGCCTGGCCTTGAATGCCTCCAGGAATGGGGTATCCACAGTCTTCCTTTGGCAACCTGTTACAATGCATCACCACCCTCTGTGTGAAAAACTTCCTCCTAATATCTAACCTAAACCTCCCCTATTGCAGTTTAAGACCATTCCCCTTTGTCCTTTGTGGTTTCTTTTTTTAAACTCCCTTGTCTTTTTGTGGTTTCCCAGCTCCCCCACCACCACCTCCCTTTTATTTTTTTGGGGGGGTTGTGGGAGGGTTGATACAACTCACTGGACAAGAGTAGCGTTGATTAATGCTATCAGGAAAAAAATGCATTTTTCTTAACAGATCAATGAGACCATCTACATTTTCAGAAGAAATGGACTCTAAAGACCTGACCTTGATTTTCACATCCTTGTTTCACAGGAATTTCAGGGCAGTTTCTTTTTAATTACATTGGTTTAAATGAGAATAGCTCACAACCCAATGACTTACAACCAACTGTATTTGGAGTCCCTGGTATTTGTACTCCAGGTGTGAAAATTGGACCTGTAGTGTTTGCATTGAGGTTAACCACAACAGGCAAGCAATTGAGTTTAAGCATTTTTCAGCATAGCTTAATTCTTGTAGCTTCTGTGGAAAAAGAGAATGCGCTGAATTTTTCCACACTTAAACAGACATTCTGTGCATGAGTAACACAGCAGTTCAAATATTTAACAGGAAATATCAAGGCTTCCTTGGGTATCTTAGCTGTAACTGTTATCGATCAGCATTTATCTTGGTTAAGATAAGTAAAACTGATTAACTTCGATCTCATTCACTAGCACTATTTTGTTATAATTGCTGTATTTGCAGAGGAAGATAATGCTTAAGATCTCTCTGACACTCTTCAAAAAATGTTATACTGTCTACCATTGAAAAAGAGAATCAAAATCTGGAAATGGACACATTCCTTAACAACTCATTCACATTGATTAGGACATACTAATCTTGCAAGTTACGTGGACAGTAGAATTTTTGCAGTAAGTGGTTGCTCAGTAGGGCACCCAAATGAAAACCAGTTTTGTGAAGCATTTCAGAAGGAAATATCTTTTCACAAAACTGTCTTCAGTTACCAGCATACTAAAAACAACATTAAAAGAGTTTACTAGATGTTTCTAAATCATGTTATTCTAATTATAGAAATATCAACACAGGCATATACTTAGAATTGTGCCTGGAAGGAAAGTAGGAAAAATTCTGATCTCGGGCCTCCACACTAACTGCCTTGTGCCTTACTCTGTCAGGCTGCAGGCAAAGTGCCTTTTGCCCTCACATCTCTTAACAGAGATGAGCAACTGGGTGAAAGAGTGAGGAGCTGCAATCTCGTTGCTTAGCAAACCACAATAACTTTTTTTCCCCTCTTCAAAGTAGCTGTTACAGTCAGAAAGAATAGTGCAGTAGGAAGGTGACACTAGAGTGGAATGGCAAAAGGGACAAACAGGGAAGGAATGCTCACCTATCTCCCAGTATCCAGGTTTGCAAAGGAAAACTCCAGAAGAGAGAAATCTCCAGAAAGAGACCCTTCCCCTGTAGGGGTCAGCCCTTAAATGAGGTCTAAGAGAGGTCCAGCCTGGCTCCACCCCTTCTGGTCATACAGCTGAATTGCTTTCACCTGCACTCCCAGGGCTGACTGGGAACCCTTTCCTCAGGTGTTCAATCAGTGCTGCCTCAATAGTTACCATACAATAGTTTATAACAGTTTAAATAAAATAGCTTTTTTTTTTTTTTTTTTTTTTTTTAAGAAGTTGCATTTGTGGCACAAAAAGATATTCAACAGTACTGTGAATCATTTGTATTAGGTTTTCTTGCACTAATGCATGTTCTGTCAGAAACATTTCCAAAAGTGTTAATTACCTTTATTGCCTGGGAATGGCAAGGTAGATTTTTTGCTTTCAATATCGATCTTGCTCAAGATTACTACACTGTGGCATTAGTAGTGAACTTCAGGAGGAGCTGGATACGGTTCCATGGGGTTGGTGTCCCTTCCATGCAGAAATCAGGATGTGTGTGGGATGGAAATAAGTTTTCTCATTTGACTCGCACCATATTCTTTGCATAAAGTCTACTGTGTAGATTTTATGCCTGTATATGTGCAAGGAAAGGTGAAGAATTTCTTACACATTAAGGAGGTATAAAATCATATAGAACAGGAAAGGTGAAGCAAGCCACAAAGAAAATAAGGTCAACATCATAGCTTAATGAAATAGAAGTTGAGCTAGTGCACAATTTATACAACATTTCTGTGCAGTAAAAAGCAGAGTTACAATTGTAATCAGGTAATAGAAATACTGTAGTTCTTTGAAGCCAGGGAGAAAAGCCATGAGTGTATTATACTGCAGAGTAAATAAATGAGTGAATAAATCAGAGGTGCTCAGGCTGAACAGGAATTCTTAATAAGAAGAGCCTAATGATCTATTGTGCTCATATAGAAGTGTTTCTTCATTTGAGATGAATGCTCTGTAGACAGACATGCTTGAATTGGATTATCTTATCAAACTGAACCATGAATGAAAATCACATTTGAAGACTGATGAAAAAAACAAGCTGCATCTGAATCTCAGAATCTTGACTGTACGCCTCCAGCAACTGCATTTTCTGGCCTTACAAAAATACATAAATACTTGATCTTCTCTTTTCATGGTATCCTTAGCTGTAATGTGCCCATATTGCTCAGCTGCAAGCTCTGCTCTCTTGTGTCTCCAGCATACATGTTTACACACGTATGAACAACATGATGGATATGGTATTTCAGCACATAAAATTGCTCGGGGAGCAATAATTTGCTTTTCTAAGAACCTCAGAGAGCTTGAAATAGATACACTTTCCCTGGAATGGGAAGGTAGGTAACCACTGCGTGCAACGCAGCCTGCAGAAATAAAACCTGAGCAGTACTGCCTGCTCCCCAGATTGGTGAACCAGGAGCTGAGTATGCTGGCTCTGCTCCAGAAAAACACTTAAACAAGCTCTTTATCTGAAGCACAGCTGTAAGCACATTTGTTCTTTAGTTCTTAGATGGAAGGTGTCACAACTTGCGCACAACTAAAATTTAGGAATGTAGTTATATGCTAAAGTCATTTTATTTCAAAAGAGGACCTGGAACAGTCACCAAATCATCTAAGTACCAGGTGAATGCAAGTTGGTAATAACTTCTAGGCCATCTACTCGCTGGATTTTCATTTCAATCATCTTTCATAGGCTAGATACCTCTTAGTACACCCCAGAATATTCTTGCTGTTTCTGCCCATACTGTAGCCTTCGCATAATCTGCTGATTTATGAAGAGGTTTTTTTGCACCTAAGAATGAGTCCCACCCAAAGTTCAGACCCCATAGCTTTTGCAATCCCTTTGGGAAAGCAGGAAGTATTTGCAGGAAGTATTCTAGATCAGCCATGGAGTTGGAGCAAAAGAATGAGATCCCTTTTTTCTTGCTGCTGCTGCCTGTATCCCTGCACTTTTCCAAAGACTGACCTGAAATGGCTAAGTGCTGTCCTGCCACTGTGTGAGTGTGCTTAATTAATCTGCAATGTTGAGTCTCAGCACAGTAGCTAAATACCAAGAGGTCTGCCATCTCTACATCACACAATTTGTCACTGAGCCACAGAAGTAAGCACTTCAGCTTGGCACTCCAAGCAAATTGCACTCTTGAATGTATTGATAAAATTCATAGTGGAAAGCAGTTAGTAAGTTCAAAGAGACGTGTTAAGCCGAAATTGTTATAGCAGCATGGAAGGCTCTGAACAAATAAAAATAAGTCTGCATTAGGATTTTAGTGTTGGTCAAGATTTTAGAAGCATCTTCAAATTCAGAGGAGTCTGACACTTCTTTATACCAAATCTGAATGGGAGCAATTTTTGATCATTATGGAAAATAACAAATGCCTGTGAAGTAGAAGATATTGTATACTTTCATGTAGAATAGGCAAAAATCAATTTAAATGGTTTTAAAAAGAGCACTTGCTCATAACCTGGTCTCAAATATTGCTTGTCAGAAACATTGGGTTAAACACTGGATTCTTAGCTTCAACAGGATAAACAACAAGGAACATGACTATTGATTTGGATTTTATTTTCCTACGGGAAAAGAAGACAAAATGTTTACAGATACTGTGATCTTACCCACAGATCAACACTCCCTCAACATAGAGGAAATCCTCTTCTGAAAATACCATACATCACAGCTGATCTGTGAGAGATGGTAGCACTTTTTACAATACCTAGGGCCGTTTTTCTCTTTGGAAACCTGGATTATTTTGAATAATTAAGTTCAGTGATGTGCTACCCTTCTCATAATCCACAGTACTTTCAGGTTGGAGTGCCAAATCATACTGCTGCTGCTGCTGTGCTGATATGGAGTATCTGCGAGGTGCTCAGATACCTCAGCCTGGATTTCTGCTGCCTATTAATTGAATGTGCCCGTCTTTGCAGCTCCAACCAACCAGTCTCATCCCCATTCCCATATTCTCCAAAATGCTGCCGTGACTCAGACTGATAATTGAATGGATTGGTGTGTTTGGTTACAAATACATGAGGGAAATCTCACTATGCACTTGCTGCATTGCCAGCTGTGACCAGGCTAGAATAGTGTGTCTTGATGCAATTACAGGAGAGGTGCTATCTGTTCCAGTTTAAGTAGGATGAATAATAAATAAGCAAGTTAAATCATTAAATAAAAGCAGATTTTTTAAAATTAGTTCTCCTGCTTATTCAACTGCCCTGTATCTGTTACAAACCAGAAATTAATCTTGATCACATGTTCACTTGAAGCACTGAAAGTCATTGCTTTTTTTCAAGCCACAACAACTTTCTGTTGTTCTGTCTGGACAGCCTGTTCTGACAGTAATCAATCTTTATACTAATATCACAGAATGATAGGATAACTCAAGTTGGAAGGGACCCATAAGGATCACTGAATCCAATTCCTGGCTCCACATGGGACCAGCCTAAATCCTTCACTTAAATCAGAAGATATGTTTTTGAAAATGTATGGATATGCCTCTCATATTTACAAATGTATCTTAAAGCATGGTCATTACTGAAATGTAAAAGCATGATTCAGAAATACGTGTTGCTGTGTATCACAGCCACCTGGAAGGCACCGTATCACCAGTGTCTGTCATACAGGAACTCTCGTTGGCCTGATCAAATGGTCTGTGCATATTAAATACAAGTATTAGTTCTGCCCTATTTCCCAAAGATACTGATTCTCAATTCCTTGTGAAGAAAAGCTGATAAGAAAATAGTGTTTTGAGTAGCTCGGTTCCTCACTGATAATACAAGGAAAAAGGGAGGGTTTGGGTTACTGAGGCTGAGAATACAGAGCAGGGATGTGTGAGCACTGGGGAATGATGGACACTGGTGGCTCTCCTTGTTCTACCAGGTAATATTTGTTACAGTATTAATGATGTTTTGCTACTTCAAGAAAAGGTGAATAATCATTTTCTCAAATTGCTTCAAAGTGTTTATTAAACACTGTTATTAACTATAGTGACTAAGGTCCAATGAAGATTGAGTATAAAATGGTAACTCAGTGCAAGGTTACCTGATTGGTTCTAATTTACACTGATGACATATGCACATTGAAGATTTTGGGATGCTTTGTGAAGTAGAATTTATGCATTTATTTTACATCTTATTTCAGGAACTCACACCCTCACTGTGATCCTGACAAAATATGCAACATACACAGCAACACCCACATTCACTCTGTTAATTTTCAGATCTGATTGTTGTAAATCCACAGAAGTGTTGGGGATGTGACTTCAGCTGAGATCAGTTGTGTAAGCAAGCAGACAGAAGGTGCCCAAAACGTGCACGGAGGGTTTTCTCTGAGGAGCACGGCAAGCTGACAGCTCTTCACCCTTTCACCCCCCCTGCACTCCTGCAGCTTCCGTGCTGGAGAGGAGGGACAAGAGCCTGATGCACTAGGCTGACAGTTTGGGATGTTTGATTTGGGAGGTGTTTGATTTGCGAGGCATCTGATTGTTTCCCACTTGGTGCAACAGTCCTTAGGGGAACCCCTGCCGCATGCAAGAGCCACCTGAGCTGCTCGGCACAAAGGCAGGCAGGGGAGGGAAATGGTGGTGGTGCCAGCTCCTCAGTGATCTGCGCTCATCTCCGACCTAACTGCTGTGTCCTTGGCTCTGGGGGCAGCACCTCTGCCGTCTGACTACACGTGGTAGTGATACAGGGCAGCGACGAACAGTTGGTTTTTTTGTTTGTTTTTTAATCAGGACTTGGGATGAGGCCATTACAGTTGTACCAATCATCAAAATCAGACCGAGCAGTCAAAATTCAGAGGACCCTTTCTACTTCTGTGTTCGAGCTTTTACTGCTGGCCCAGTGGCTGGCTCTCGCACGTCTTCAAGGAGAGATGTTTTTAGATACCAAGCAACTTCGGAGCCGGGGTGGCTCAGCGCCCGGGACTCCCGGCCTGGCAGCGGGCCCCCGTGTCCCCGGAGCGGGCAGCGAGCGTCGCTCCCGCAACGGACCCCGCGGCGCACTCCGCAACGCCGGGCCGCCCGCTGGCTACGGGACCCCGCCGGCGGCCCCTCTCCGCCCAGGGGAGGAGGCTCCGGGCGCGGGCAGCCGAGCAGCGATCGGCCCCGGCCCGCCGAGCCGAGCCACGGGCGGCATGGAGCGGGAGCTGGACCTGCTGCTCTACCTGGCGCTCTTCTTCCTCCTCCTGCTGCTGTTGCTGCTGCTGCTGTGCCTGCTCATCCGGCAGCTGCGGAGCTGGCCGCGCGGCGCTCCCTCCGCCCCGCCGCCTCGCAGCCCGCGGGCGGGTGCCGGCAGCCGCCGCCGTGAGCCGCGGGAGCCGCCCGCCGCCGCCGCGCAGGTGAGTCCGGGGCTCTGCGGCGTTCCGCTCGGCCGGGGGCTGCCCGCCGTCCCCCGTCCCCTCAGGCGCGCTGCCGGCCGCGAACTTCCTCCGCTGAAACTCTGCCCGCCGGTCCACGGCTGAAACGGATTCGGCTGTGGGAGAAATCGAGGGGAAATAAACAGGCGAGCTTGGCCCGGTGCCGTTACTCCGTAATGAAGTATCAGAGAAATCCCTTCAGACCCTCTTAGCAGGAGAGATTATTTAGGCTTGCTTTGGCGAACTGAGGTCTGAATTTAACCTGATTCGAGCTTTTTAAAAATGTAGTGTTTTCCTACACTCTCGTGTTACTAAGACTTCTTATTTTTCCTTAACAGCGTCTAACCCAGTTGTCCTCCATTTGTTCCGCAGAAGTTATTCCCCACAGGTGACCAAAACGCCAAGCTGGTGTCACCCCTAGGAGGGGACAGCCCTATCACATTCCACAGCTCACCCCTCACTGAGCTCCCGCCTTGTAGCTGCTCAGATAGGCGCTGCTCCACAGCCACAGGTGGGCAGTTTTGTCCTTCGAGGAGGGGGACACGTGAAGAAGTTAAGGCTAGGTGCCAACAGCTGTGCAGTGAGCTTGACAAAAGAAAATACACCTGTTACTTTAGAGCCAGCGTTCTGTTCAGGTGCATCAGTTTTATTTTGGACTTTGGTTAGGTCACATTAGGTGGCAGCGGGGTGTTTTCTGCAGGGCACGATGCTGCTGATTCAAACAGGTGCCTCTTGTTGATTCAAACAGGATGCTCTTGTTCACACTTGCTGTGCATTTCTCTTGTGTGTGGTGGCATGCTGTGAGGACAAGGCTACTGTTGGAGGCTGCAGTACCTATGCCACATTCCATGAATTGAACCATTCCCCATCTCCTTTCTGTTGGTGTATTCTTCCACTTCTTTTTCTGTGCACTGCTGGGTGGTTTAGCATGGAAATCTCTGGTATGTGGCCTCTATGGCCACGAGCTAAAGCAGCCGGAGGGAAGAACCTGGTGAGGGTGCAGACATGATGTTAGAAACAAGAGGAAGAGGCCGTCCACCGGTCTGCGTGGCATTGCTCTTATTCCATCTTATTCCAACCCTGAATTATTTCAAATAATGTAAATGATTGGGGCACTTTTCAGAATTGAAATCAGAATCATAGGGATTGGAAGGAACCAATAAAAGCCATCTGGCATATCTCCCCTGCACTGAACAGGGGCACCTACAGCTACATCAGGTGCTCAGAGCCCCATCCAGCCTGACCTTGAAGCATCTCCAAGGATGGGGCATCCACCACCTCTCTAGACAGTCTGTTCCAGTGCCTCAGTACCCCTACTGTAAAAATAAAACTTTTTCCTTATATCCAAGTGTACGGGAACTGTTGAGTCATGGCCTGAACCACTGATTGATCACCTGAGGAAAGGACCTGGTCAGCCTTGGGAGCACAGGTGAAGGCAGTTCAGTATGACTAGAAGGGGTGGAGCCTGGCTGCACCTCTCTTAGACCCCATTTAAGGGCTGACTGCCACTGCAGAAGGATCTCTGGTTAGAGATCCCTCTTCTTAGATCTTTGGATATAGGTGAGCGTGCCTTCCCTGTTTGTTTCTTTCCTGATTTTCACCACAATAATCTTTCTAGCTGTAACACCAACCTAAATCTCCCTTCTTTTAGTTTGAGACCTTTTCCTATTGCCTTATTATCTAGTTCAGCCCCCACTTTTAATAACTTGGTTTGCAGAAGCTCTTCATGCTTCTATTGCACAAAATAGAGATAATATTTTAATTACTCTTCAGAAGTGTAACAGATAAGACATAGGCTGCTACATTTATTTGGATGTAGAAAACTTATAGATGGCGTTTCTCTAACGTGTATTTCACACCAATGTAAAAAAGTACGTGGGGTTATTTAGTTAAACATTTGGAAGTCAGAGGATTAACAGATTTTTGTTTTGGTATTAGTATAGCATCTCAAATGTGCTAATTTCATAAATACCTGCAGTGTAGGAATAAATACTCCAAACATTCAATGCAGGTCAAATGAGTGCTCCTTGAGAGTCGTCTCCGTATTTCAATCCTGTTGCTTACAGCAGAACTTGCAGGGGTATCCAGGCATCCAAGGAATTTGTTTGACATCACGCATACAGAGAGTGCCTCTTCCACTGTCCAGAGCTTTTACTGGAAGTATCTATACCTTCAGTGTCCACCTTTACAACAAAGGATGTCTTTTTTTTTTTTTTAAGCAGTGATGTCAGAAGTAAGTCAAAGACTTTAAAAATATTGTCAGATGAATCATCCTTAGGGATGTAAATAATCTGCAGGATGAGAGAAACACAAGATATGATCACAAGCAGTAAATCAATCAGGGGTTTGCAAAGCATCCAAAGTGTCCTGTGTGTTGCTGTACCACACACACCTACATGTCCCGTCATGAAGGTGGCTACATTCCTTTTTGTTCAGCCCTGATGTGCCAGGCAATATCTGGACACCCCATTATTAGGCTGCTGTTGAATACTGGAGGGAATTCAGACAAAGAGTGTTTTAGGAATTTTGAAGGAAAAATTAAAATAGTTAAATATGTTTGCTTTTATTAGCTGGTGGCTAAACAGGAACATGATTGTCTACAAACACTCGAAAGAAGCTCTGAGGCAGAAGAACGCAGCTTAATCTGTAACTAGGCATAATGACACAGAGTGCAGACAGGGACTAGTAAGAGTAAAGGTAGGAGAGTCTACTTGATGATGAAATGTGTTGAATCAAGGAATAATTTTCTAAGGAAAACACACAGTTCATTATTTGTGTGTTGAAAACTGGTGTACAAGAGGGAATCAGCCTGTGTTTTATGAATCAGCTCTTCTTGCATCTTTAGATTATAGTATACAAAGACTCAGTGGACTGAATCTTTTCTGATGAAGCCTGAAGATTTACAGCAGAAATGTCCTACTTCTGGGAAATTCACAAATCCTTTAAAATGAGTAGAATAACCTATTTCTATTCAGATGTTTAATTTGGCATGGGTATTTTCATATTGATGAATAGCATAGCTCTTCTCACAGCCACAGCTGTGCAAGACCTGTGAAGCAGCTTTAATTTCTCAGCATTCCCAAGAAACTCATTCTTTTGCTTCCCTTCAGATATCATCGCATCTTTCAAGTTTTACTTAGGAAATGTACCCCTTTGGAGGGCTATCAAAACTGCAGTCATTTAAGAACTGTGTTGAGGCACACTGGTGGGACTTTAGCCAGATGGTTTTTCTGTTCAGGCATGCTGGCGCATCTGAACTGTTTGCTCCTGTGACTTGTGTCATAATCAGAAAACGTGATGCTGGCTCAAGAATCCAGGCTCTTGGACTCAGGTGAATGGGTAGAAATCTACTTCTACTTCCAGGTTGTTTCTAGATCGAAAAGGAAGAACATAGTCAATCAAGTTTTTGTGGTTGCATCTTATTGAGAAGACTCAATCCAATTTTCAGGTATCCAGAAAGGATTCTGACTGCAGAATGATTTAAATATAGAATTTAATGGTCCATAGGATTTAGGCTTACTGGATGTTGTTGTTAGATTGATTTGTTAGCTTCCTTCACAACAATGACCAGAAATTTTAGAAAATAGGTGATGCTACTTCAAGTAGATAGAAAAAAATCACTGCCTCCTTGATGCTTTGAATTGGTCTCATCCAAAGGTATTTCTCACATCTGAGCATCTTCTAGCTTTGTACAATTCCAGACTGTGTCTGGCCTGGGACATGAGTGTTCTCTGCTGAAAGTGGAACCTTGCATATGCTGAGGTAGCATGGGTTGCTGTGCTGGCATATGAAGTGTCTGCCGTGTGTGCCATGCCTGCAGTGCTGGGAGGCCACTCTCTTCTAGTACCTTTGCAGTCATATAAAGGCAGCTGGAAGATCTTCCTAGGGTGCAGACAGTCCTTGAAATCACAGTAATCAAAAGCCATGGACCTTATTTTGGTTTGTTAAACTGGAGCTCTGTTAGTGTAAAGTGGTGTTGACTCACTAAAGTGATATGTTGGTATTACTCATAGACTTAAATATCTACTTTCCATTTTTAACTTAGATTTTATTGTGTTCTCTTTCCAGATGAGGTGAGCCTTTGCTTGGGCATCCATATGGATTATATGTCACTATCAGCTGTTTCTTTATCAGTGCTATCAAGGTATCAGAATTCAGTAATCTATATTCCTGGTGATAGAGTATAAATTCTAATTTTACAATTGGTACAGTGTTAGTATTTGTAGATAACTTACAAGGAAGCATGCCAGCCATATCAAAACTTCCCCAAGTGATCCATAAGAGACGATACATGGAGATAAAAAGGATAAACAATTGTAATGCCAGAAATCCATGCATTCCATGGCTTGGCTGTAATATCAGCCCATATTGATCTAGAAAGCATGGGATGATTTAGGTTTATTTTCCTTATCTTCAAGTACCTGCAAAAAAAATTATCCATTGTTTCTGACCTTAAAACTGTCTATTTTTAATAGTGTTTTGAGTACACAGTCAATGACACAAAAAACCACAATTTATATCATCTAAGTGACTTCTATAGCTACTGATTTGAAACAAGTGAGGGATGTCAATTGAAAACCAGACCCACACATGTCTGTTGCATGTGATTAGCAGCAGAGATTTTTCAGCCATATCAGGAGAAGAGGTGGGAAGGTGACAGAGTTGTTTTTCTGAAGGCTGGCAGTGTCTGCAAGCTGAACTGTATCTGGTCGGTGGTGTGTGCCTTATTAATATTTATGCCGCATTAAGGAGATGTTAAGAGGCAACTCTTTGTCTTAACTAATGGTAATGAAATGTTCAGAGGTATCCATTCCTTCACAAGAGATCAGCTATCTCTGCTGGAATGGGTTTTGTTGCTGCCTTGATTGATTACTGAAGACAAGTTGAGCTGTTCTGTTCTGCAGGAAAGGTTTGCTGGCATATACTTCTCTTTGGTTTTCTCTTTCTTTGAGGTGATTGTTCTAAAACCGTGTATGGGAACTCCTGAACCTCTGATTGATCACCTGATCAATGAGTCAGCCCTGGGAGCACAGGTGAAGGCAATTCACCTGTGCTGCCGGAAGGGGTGGAGCCTGGCTCCACCTCTCCTAGACCCATGTAAGAGCTGACTACCAGTGGGGAAGGATCTCTTCTGGAGATCCCTCCTTTGGAGTTTTACAGTGAGCCCAGGACATAGTAAGCACTTCTATTCTCTTTTGGTATAATAATTTGCTTAGCCAAACTCTCTGGTATATTTCATAATTATAACATCTGTACATTCATTGATTATACAAACCAGACCTTTCCAAATGATGCAAATGCCATGTCAGTTCAGATATGAGATGAAAACTTAATATTCTCCTGTCAAGACTGAAAAAGCCCAGCTCAGTTGTTGGTGTTATCTCTTGCTGACTCTGTGATGGTGCAGGCTGGTGCTGCTGGCAGACCTGGCCAAAAGAAGCTGTGTTGGGAGGGGAAGGCAGGCCGAGGGCAATAGGGAGTGGGGCACAGCATGTGCTTTCAGCAGACAGAGGGGAAAGGAAGTTGGCTCCTTTAGCTCATTGCACAGGAGGGTGGAAATTCAGAAAGTAAAAAGCAGTGGGACAGCTATTGGGATGGGTTCCTGGAGTGGGTTGGGAACTGGGTGTGGTGGGTTTTTCTTGCTGACCAGGGTGGTAGGGATGTCCTCTCAAGTGTCTTGGAGTGCATGCACTGGGAGGTGCAGGTGAGATGGAGGGAGCTCAGGGCAGAGGAGCTGAAGAAGAGATCCAGGAAAAGCAGAAGGATGTATACAGATTTACCATACTTGGTATTGGGTATATAGTAAAAGCAGAGGCCCTAGATTGTGAGGTACCTCTGTGGAAAGGAGGGAAATGCACCTGTGGGATATGTGCCTGATTCAGCCAAACAGCTTCCAGGAAACTAGTGATATTTTATGAAGTTCTAGATCATCAGGCTGCTTTTGCTCCTCTATGTAATATCTGGGCATGAGGCAGATCCTGGGGCCTCACAGAAGACTTGCAGCCTTTCTCTTCAGCTCTAGACCCTTCAAGAGGAATTGGCTACCTTGTGCTGGGCACCTGGGGATGCCCCCCAGCATCCCTGTGTAGCAGGAGGAGCTGAACCAGCGCAGGTGTTGCTACCTAGCAGTGAGGTATGAAGGGGTTTGTTAATGAGTTGCCCAGCACTTCTGTAGAACTTCTGGTGCCTGCACAGAGGTTTTCTGTCTGGCTGTGAGTGCAGCTTCAGCACCCTGTACAGTTGCTTAGCACACCTTAAGGCATGTCTTGCGTTATATGGAGGTAAACCCTTGTACTTTTTCTTCCTTGATTTTTTTTTTTTTTTTTTTTTTTTTTACAGCAAGTCTTCACGGTCTTTTTATAAGCCCCTAATGAAATGATCTTGCCAAGAGTGACTTATGGTAATTTGTCAGAAGCTGAAATGATGTAACCTACTTCTGTATCAAAATGCACAATATGGTTAAAATTGAAGTCTGTAAACCTTGTAAATCTGACTTGGTGAAGTCCGACCTTACTGGAGACGTCTGTATGTGCATTACCCTGATTCAGATGTGAAATCACTGAAGACTCTTCAGCTGTCAGAAGATTATGGATATTTAGGAGAGGAATTAGAGGGCCACAATAAATTATTGAATAAAGAATAAAGCGTGGTGGAAAAGGTGATTCATCACTGCTCTATACCAGTCCTATACTCACAGCTGAATTCAATCACCTTGTACAAGGCTAAAGCTGGAAGGGAAATAGTCTGCACCTGGCCCATGTGTGCCCTCTCCTGAGGGTGGTGTTTAGCCCAACCCCATTGCCCAAATTCCTCAGATGGGAAACAGAGGCACAACTGGCTCTGAGAATGCAGAAAGTCAAGGTTACTGGTAGGGATACAAGGCAGGTGGGTGGTGGGCTTGTGAGCCTCTCAGGCAGTAGAAGATGGCATGAGATGAACTGCCTGCCTTGAGCCATTTTACTGGCTGAGGCCAAAATGCTGGAGCTGGACCTTTGAATAGGCTCTAAGCGACTGGTCAGTGCTGTGTGCCTTATTAATATTTATGCTGCATTAAGGAGATATTAAGAGGCAACTCTTTGTCTTAACTAATGGTAGTGAAATGTGTACTGTATTTACTGCTTAAACACTGGTCAGAAAACAAGCGGACTGCCTGGAGTGTGTTAGAGGGACAGATAAACAAAGTTTGTGATTTGGGCTTCTGGACAGAGGAGACTCAGCATTTTTTTCCCGTGTTCTGTTTCTACTTGAAAAACGGATGAAACTGTCTGGGGAAGGGAGTGTTTGCCATGGCAGGGGTTTGTTTTGCCATGTGGGTGGCTGGTTCCTAGGAGATGCGTTGAGCAGACATGCTTGATGAGCCCACAGAAGTTTTCCTCCTTTGACAGCATGTTACTAGCTTATACTGATAGCACTAAGCCCCCAAATAAATTCCCTTCCAGCCTCCCGTTTTTGCTGCTAGCCCTGATGTCAGGCTCTATGAAAATCTGAAGGTAGTAGTGCTTCAGAAGGTGAAAGATCTCAAGCATAAACAAATACCTGTGTTAGAGGCAGAGCCACTTGATGTGAGGAGACATGGAACAAATTGATCTGCTTGCTTGTCTCAGCTTGCAGTCCTGAGAAATGAAGTATTACTGGCGAGCTTCTGTAGGAAACATATCAGCTTTTAAAGTAAATGAATAATTCTGTAACTGCAAAGTTAACTTAGGGAGAAATTACATTCAAATTAGTCTTTTAAGTTTGGTATCTTTGGTTTAGTCCAGTTCTTTGAGGATATTCAATGCATGACCTGATTTCTCACTGACTGCTTGGAAGCTGTTTTGCTTGATGTTTTTTATGAATATCAAAGTTAAAAAGCTTTGCCTGACTGAAATCTGTCTCAACTATACAGAGAGTTCACTGACATGAAAATCCTTTCCCCTTCTGCTGTCCTCTGAGGAGGAAGTTATTTGAATGTTAGGAAGTACTGAAAACATACCCATTGCTAGTGCAGCAGAATAAACCAAAGGCTTTTATGAATTGCAATGGTTTTAGTTGCAATCTGCCCTGAAGTAACCAGGCTTATCTATGGGCTTTACTGTTTTCTCCTTGTTTGTTCATCTTTTTCTTCACTGCTGTAGGATTTGCTAGTGTATTGTTTCCCTGGCATGAAATCTAATTCCTCGGTGTGTAACGTAACAAGACTTTGCATGCAAGTTTAGCTCTTAAGGATTGATGACAAAGAACCTAAAACAACAGTACCTTTCATTTTTCTCCATTTACTGTTCTGTATTTGTCAGGCCCACTTCCAGCTCAGAAGTCAACTTTCCCAGTTCAAATACAAACTGTTTGTTTGAGATGATTTACCAGAGCATTTTACTTAGCAATTACTATCAGGATCCTGCTGATGGTTTCATACTGAAAAGATTAGAGCTACAGCTGTTGGGAGTAAGCAAAAGTGTTGTGGGATCAAACGGCAGTGTGGTGTGGGGATGGTGAAGGTCAACAACCTTTTTCTTTCATTCAGTGCCAGAGCTAGCAGCTTTAACTTCCTACAAATGATGTCAGAATCACACTTCTGAGTGTGATCCATTACACAGATGATGGTTGAATAGCACTGGTCTTCTCTGCTTTTATAAGGGAATGGGGTACAGGGTAACAACTAATGAGTGTATGGTGAAAGAAAAACCCATTGAACATCTGTTTGCGTGGGTGCTATTTTTTTCTTTTAATTCTGAAAGGGAAATTGTATGCACTTCTGTAATAAAATTTTACCCTAATGCAGCATTTTAGAGGAATCTTGCATATCATCAGTGTTATTCCTCTATTTCATAACAGACAATTTGTGCTCAGAAGTTTTGGGTAGTTTCTACTCTGTAGTTTCACTTCCCGGGTGTTGCCACTAGATGTCCCATTTTCTATACACGTATACTGCTTTAAAGTCACTTCCGTTCTTTGTTTGGCATATGGGAAGATGATTTCATTGTGTCAGTATTTGCATTATTCATATTTTCACTTCCCCTTTGAACATAACTGCAGCTATTTTTGAATAACATCGATGCCAAGAGTGATTTTACGTGGTTTAATAAGCTTCCTACAGGGGCTGGGAGTGGGAATGCGTGTCTGACACAAAATGCAGGCTTTTTTCTCTGTCACCATATAGTGTGT